ATAAATTGGCTAAAAAGTTTCCCAGATTTACTTATTTTTTGTTCTCTGGCTGTAAGCTCTGGTGTCAAATATTGGTGGTTCGTCCATTTGAGCTTTGGCTTTGTGCCAGGGACTGAGTTTTTAAGTTCACATCCGCTTCACTGGCTTATTTGTGTGCAGTTGGTTGGTCCTGTTCAGGTTTCCTGACCCATCAAACGCTTTCTCAGTCTAATCTAGGTCAGAGGGGTGTCACGTTGTACTGTTTTCTTCTAAAAGAGTCTCTCGTGGGACCTGGGCTCATGCTGTTTGTGGGGGAGGGGGTAGTTTAGGGCCAGTTCTTGATGTTTTGGGGTCGTTATTAAAACTGTGTCGTCGTGTAGTATGGAACATGCGACATCAGCACTGATGTAATTGGAGGAATGACAACGTGACACCCTTCTGACGCAGAACAGTCTGGGAAAACATGAAATAAATGACAGCCAGTGTGTAGATGGTTGTTATTTGCCGCTCGGGCGGATGTACTGCGACTTCAAAGGAAGCCCACAATTAGTCGACGCCTACGACATGCTTGTTGGGGAGGCAGTGGGTCTGTTCTTGTTTTTCTCACAATGGGGCCCCGGAACGCACACAGGAACCAGATTTACCACGATTTAGATAGCTGCAACTGTGAGAACTCAACAAGCCTAGGCTCCGTTGAAATATACTGCTTTCATGCCATTCAATATCGTGTGGGGAAAATAGGAGAAAAAGGGTAAAGGTAAAAGTAAAGTCGGGAGATGTGAACCAGCGTCATTTAACACGGTTATAAACCATAAGTGCTCTGCCACCAGTATGGACAGCTGATAAGAAACTGTCCGCCTGTGTCGCCGTCCGCACGTATATCCGTAGCTACAGCGACGTTCCTCTATTTACCCCAGAGTGTCAACTCTGGTACACATTTCCTTGAGGCTGGGTGAACCCCGGGAACCGCCCAGTCTAGAACACAAACCGTGGCTGCAACGAGTCGCAGCTGAATATGAAAGCGAGTATCCTATCGACTGCGCTAAAGCAGCTCAGTAAAAAAAAAAAAATTGGAGAAACATACGAGGTAGCCTTCCCCGAGAGAGGTAAAACCCGTGAGCTGATGAGCGATAAACATTATCAACATTATAAACCACTTCTGCTATTTAGCGACGCAGAGAGGAATAATTTGCGATCCACTGCACGCTGGCTGCCACTGGCTATCGTCATGCTGTGAAGGCAAAGAGTGTCTTTAATGTTGTCGATCCATGTTTCGCGGCCGTCCTCTTGCTCTGCCTTGCGTTGGTTTCGACAGTGGTATCAAGAAAGCCGACCGTCGAGAGAGCAATGGCAAACTACTGGACGTAAATTTGGCTAGAAAAACCACAAAACAGCCAGAGGCTGTACTACTACTACTACTACTAATATTAATATTACTACTACTACAACTACCATTGCTACTAGTGCTACAGATTGCTTGGCCACGCAGATAGGGAGAGTTAAGAGCTTACACGGGACACATAGTGATGATATTAGTCCAGTATTTCTCCAAGTCACTTGTGGTAATCGCTGTGTTGAAACAGGGTGTGATTTTTTTTAGGTTAGTATTTTAAAACCAGTTTCAAACTACAGTTTCTAACAATCGCCTGAAAATTACTTTTTACATGCATTCATTGCAACTAGGCATAGCAAATGATACCACAACATCTCGTGCTTTCTTAATATCCTACCCCAAACTAGGGAAATCCACAGGTCAGTCTAATATTTCAGGGGATGGTAGATAGGCTGCATGCAGTCGTTGGACCTAGGCTACATGCAGTCGTGGGACGTAGGTGGGTTGGAGTTGGGATTAGTTCTAGATGTTTTGGGGTCGTTAGAAGCCGGGAAACCCAGTCTTGCTATCCTCAATAATGTTGGACTGTTCTATGACGTCAGCTGAGGGGTAGCATATTACGAAAGAACCCAACATCTAATTTGAGAATACTAAATTGCTGACGAGGCTCACAATGGCAGCCATCTAAATTTCCTACATAACAACAAAGTTCTAGATGAACGTCGGTCAGTTATTGGTGTGTCGTGACCACTACACTAGCCACTTTCCTTGCGGAGACTGATGTTGATTCGTTGTTCAAACCTCACACAAAACTATGTATATATATATATTTGTAGGAATTTGAATGAATTAACATAATCTTTATGAATCACGCCTTTTAAGCCTTTGCAGAATGTCAGGTCCTAAGCTGTAGCTTGTTTAGCTCATGGCTTAATCAGGCACTGGGTAGAGGATAATAGATTTGATCAAGGGACCTCGAGACTCATAGAGAGGCTGCCATGAGAACAGCGATCTGCAAAGGAACTGCCAACTGATGATGATGATGATAATAATACAGAAATGATGATGATGACTATAATGCAAACGTGGCTGTTTGTCGTAAAATATCCAACTACTTGTACTAATATTTATATAATTTAGTATAACATAACGTATTATAAACATTTAAATTTCACTGCCTTATAATTACTATTGATACATTATAATTCACCATTTCTATTAGCGGAACTGTTGCAAATTTTACGACACTTACTAAGGGTTTTGGGTATTCTTATTTCCGCTTCCTTTCTGATGTTTTCGACATGGCGGTGAGAACTTATATGTTGTAGTATCTTGTAAATCGCATATAATCGCAACTGTTAAACGGCTTTATTTCTTGTATTAAGTTTATTTAACTTAACTTGATGGTAATGTTTTGTAAAATGTGATTTTAATTAGCAAAATTTATCTGCAAACATGAGAAAATATATATGTTGTTATCTATATATCTACACTAGATTGTCAGCTGTCGAGCAATCTCGTTTCACCGCACAATGGCCAACTTGAATATTCAACATTCATCTTCTAAATGTTATGTTTAGTAAATTTTAGCACTAATGATTAATTATTTTTATAACTTCTTCAATATTATTCTCCATTGTTTTTATATATAAAAAAAAATGAGAAATGTCATGAAATTCTTATAACCTGCTTACTGCTCACTACTACTGTTTTCAGTCAGTATTATAATTATTATGAGTCGTGGTCATTTGCATTTGGCAGTAATAGTAATCATAATTATTACACATGCTACATCATTTCTAATTTTGTGCTTGGGTAAGCGATACAGCAGGCAGCTGTCATTACTATTCACATGGTACCGTAAACTACTAAAAGTCAATGTTTGTGGATTAGACTTCGTAATGAAATGCCAGGGTGCCGGGTTCGATCCAACCTGCTGGCCTTGCGGTGGTATCGAGAAGCGGACTGCCTAGAAGCAGTGGCAGACTACTAGACATAAATTTGCCTAGAAAAACAGCAAAAAAAATATGTTGGTTTTGATTCTGCAACCTCATGTATCGGATAGGATACGCAACTAAACATTAATGGCAGCTAGTTTATTCTGTTGAAGTCAATCAGCACAAGAGGTAACAACTGTTTTCATGAAAACCAGAACTTTAAAATGAATGTTACAGCTAAACTCCAAGTTCTGAAACAAATTACAAAGGTGGATGAACAACCAGAACTGTTGGCTAGAGCATGCCCATCTGCTTTACCAAAAGGCAGGCCGGTTAAAATATTTACTGGTGCTATCTGCCACAGGGAGCCACACTAAAACGTTACAACGGGTATAGAGCGAGTGGAAGACCTCAGAAAAATATGGAGTGATGGCATTAAGAACAGACTTACAGAAATGAACATAAGTCTTAATAGTGCTCTTGACAGCTCATCAACGACTATTACATTTAGTTACCCTGACACTTCGATGAGTGAGGTACAAGGTGGAAGAGAATTATTTTGTGTCAGCTCATCTAGGGTGCATTGTAAAACTTCTGGTATCTAAAAAGATTTACATGGTAGGTACATAATTACTGATGAGCTAGGTAAGGGCTGATTCTCTAAGCTAACCCCAAAAAGCTGTAACAAGTAAAGTTTGTCACCCTATCTGAGCAACTAAATGACGCTTCCCTGTGTGTTTTTAACCACCCGATTGTAAAAAAAAAACTTCATAAAAAGTGTACATCACTTTGTAAAAGAAAGAAAATAAGGCTATCCGAATAATGGGCACAAAAGATGGTGGCCCCAAAAACCCTAAAAGAGCCCCAGTCACGTGTCAATTGCGCACTTACAGCGACCTAATTTGCCGTTCTCCGCAGACTACCACCGCCGCCAAGAGACCCCCACGCCACGTGAGCGGTGGATGAGCCACTTTTGGCTGTGGTGGTAGTCTTTAGAAAACCGCAAATTAAGTCGCTGGAAGTGCACAATTGACACGTGGCTGAGGCCCTGTTTTTGTCTGCCATCTTTTGTGCCCGTTATTCTGGGGATAGCTGGAAAAAAATATATCAAATAAAAAGCCCGATATAAATATTTAGCAGGACCTTTGCAAACTTTTAAAACTGCAGTCTTTTCAATTAAGATATTGGTCTCCGACAAGACAGCAGAGCTTATAAGCAGCCAAAGTTGCCATGCCAGCCCACAGCACATTGGTTAGTCACACACAGCTCTATGCTAACTTTTCACACGCTGTAAACTTTTGCATGTACCCAGCATTTTTCTCGCTTTGTCTGTGAGCCGCCTGTTTCTTAAATTGTTGCAATGAGTTTCTTAGGCTGCATAATGTTGTATCTTTCCTATGCTTTATTCTTCACATCATGTCTTTAGCCTTAGCCTTTAGTAGCCTTTTACTTTGCTAAGAACCTTTTTGTGAAATCCACGTTAACAGCAGGGGGAATTTAGATTTATTCCAGGTGCGCAGTCTCTTAATGGGTGTTTTACCTTATTTCCCTTAAGGTGCAGCTGTCTCCCAGTGGTACCCATTAAGATAAAATGCAAGACTTCAGAGTTTAACATGGAATCAGTTTGCATCTGGCTGGTGGATCAAAGACGTCCACCTCATTGTTGTATCAAAGCAGTCACTGCACATTTTCACGTAGCCTTCTTTTATTGAGATGTTAGTTTATAATTTTGCTTGTTTTTTCTTTAACAGGATAAAGATAAGGAAAACAAGACAAATGTGAATGTGATGCGCGAGCTTCGCATTCGCAAACTCTGCCTGAACATCTGTGTGGGTGAGTCCGGTGACAGACTGACCAGAGCAGCCAAAGTGCTTGAACAGCTTACAGGACAGACACCTGTGTTCTCAAAAGGTAAAATTATGGTATTTGGTGATTAAGAATATTTGATAGATAAAATATTAAAAGCTAAGAGTGTTGAGTACTGGGTAAGAAATCTTTGACTAAGTAACAGTAAGTAAATTGGTTTTTGTAAGGATGCTTTTTGTTTTAATGTTTAAAATAAGCAAACAAATTTTCTAAACTTTGTAATGTTTTCCTATTTCAAAACTTCTCTGGCGTTCCCCCCCCCCCCCCCCACCCAATCCTCTTGTTTGAAGAGGATGTTGATCCTTTAAAGCTCTTCCTTCTATCCTGCTGCCAGCCATGTTAGCTGTTCAGTTTTGGAACAAGGAAGTACATTAAACAGTGGCTTTTCCATAATGTTCACAAAACTGTTGTGTGCATAAGTTGGGTCATAACAGTTCACTCTTTATTTTTGCATGAAAGGTGATGGTTTTATCAAGTAGTGCACCCATCCACTGTCTTTGTGGCCCTGGTGAAAAGGCTGCCACATACCTGTGTATGGATCCTTTTAGGTTGACATTGCCTAGTGCCGTGCTATTAAACCGGCGGCATGTGTATCAAATTTGGCCAGCAGAGACCTAGCAAGTAGCCCACGGATCACTTGCTAGTTAGTTTCATTGAGCTTTATATACTGGAGCTCGGGCCACTGGCCCACAACTATTATCATTTTCCAACACTTTGTTTGGCCCTGAACAAACTTACGAGTCCACTTAAAAAAAAGATTTGTATCAGTTGAACTTAAGCAGATGAACTTTTTCTACAAGTGCTATCTTGAAGCAGTGAAAGAATACAGAACCTGGTATTAAAAAACTTTGATAATACATACCTATTTAAATAGATCTTGTACAAATGCCTGTAGAAAAATTTGACAGGTTCTTTTGCTAACACCTTTGCTGACTGTTACAGCTCGCTACACTGTGAGATCTTTTGGAATCAGGCGTAATGAAAAGATTGCTGTTCACTGCACAGTCCGAGGTGCTAAAGCAGAAGAAATACTGGAAAAGGGATTGAAGGTGTGTTGATAGTTTTTAAAGTTGCTGTTGGAATAACTGACATTTTATGTTTATAGTTTTGTCGCTTTGCGGTGACTGGAATAAGATACTAGGAGTAAACTTATCTGGGCATGACTGCCCAAGAAGGGTCTACTAGAAAGATCACTTGCATAGTAATGGATAGCCAAGTCACTATTCATATGCTACGAATGTTCCAAAAAACTAACCAGAATGATTCATATGCTACGAATGTTCCAAAAAACTAACCAGAATGATTCATTTATCGGCGCTCTGCTGTAAACAGGTGCGTGTACGTCACTCAGATGATTTAGACGGTAGTGGCATGCACTTTTCTTTTGTCCACCCATGCAGTTTAACGAAAAACTATTAAAATATGGTTGCTCAGTACCATTTCTTTACTTATGAAGTCTTTTTTGCTAGTTAATTCACTAAATTAGAAATTAAGTATAATTGTATATACTTATTCTGTAAAGTGGTTAAAAGCACATTGGCACGGATCTCAGTGCTTTCCATCGCTGAGACCTGACTTTTATTTAAATGTGCTAGATAAGAATATCCTGTCTGCAACACGGGGTGGCCAACCTGTGGCCACATCTGTTACTATATGCAGGAAACAATTGTTTTGTACTTAAAGGGGATAAGTTTAGTGTAGTATAACTTTTCTTTGTTTTTTGTCTGGTTATGAAACTCATCCCTGTGTGTTCATGGTCACATTTTTGGGAAAGCAGTGTTAACAAAACAAAAATGTAGTAAATTTTACAGTGTTGCATAACCAGTCCCTATTTATAAGCTGTTAGTGATTTGAGTAAGCATTTTACATTCAGTAGTTTGTCGTTGGATGTAATAGTGACTAATGGTTTGCTGAAACCTTTAATGTTGAGTGAAAAATTGCAGATATCACAGCCTTGCCAACTGTCCCTTTAGACCGAACACGAGATATGCCATTCATTACCAGTGTGATTAAATCATTGTACTAAAGTAAAGAAGTGATACTTGTCAGACTGAATTCAAAGTACTCAATGAATGTTACAGGTCCGTGAGTACGAGTTGAGAAAGAACAATTTCTCTGCAACTGGCAACTTTGGGTTTGGCATCCAGGAGCACATTGACTTGGGCATCAAGTACGACCCTGGAATCGGTATCTACGGTATGGACTTCTACATTGTCCTTGGCAGACCAGGTGAATGTTTTTACTATTCATCAGTACATCAGATTAACCTCTCTGCAGCACAGGCTGGCCTAAACAGTGCAGATTTATATATATATATCATGTTCACCACCAGCTGCAAACACGTGCGAAAAGTTCTTGTTAAATCACTTCTAGACGCCAGGCCTGTTTCAGAACCTAAGTGTTGTGTCTACATTTCACAGGTCTGGTAGACTGTTCGGTCCATTCCTTTCAGGCAGATGTACTCAACTTTGAAGGAGGCTCCCAAATAGTAGACTTTCACATGATGTTTTTGGGCAATCAGTGAGTCTATTCTTGTTATCCCCCACAATGGGGTCTCTGAGCCCACACAGGGAATAGCTAATATCAGGATGATTTCAAAAACTATTTCTGTAAAGCCGTTTAATGCACATTGGCACGGATCTCAGTGCTTTCCATCGCTGAGACCTGACTTTTTAAAAAATGTGCTAGATAAGATTATCCTGTCTGCAACACGGGGTGGCCAACCTGTGGCCACATCTGTTACTATATGCAGGAAACATTTGTTTTTAATTTTAAGATCATAAGTTCAATGCAACATAGTTATTAAATTGTGAATTATATAAAAAGTGATTCATGGTTCCACTTTGGGAAACAAAACAAAAATAATTTTGACCTGACATTGTATATGCTGAACAGAAATTGTCAAATATCTCAGCCTAGCTGTAAGTCAGACCTGCAAAATTACTAAGATTTGTTAAAAAGTGTAAAAGTGTTTACTCTTTAGGTCAAGGGTGGGTTCAAAGCCAGGGGATTCATTATTTAGGTTTCCTATGGAGGTATGTTTAGAAGGGGTTTCACTTGAGGTAAAAAATAGACACACTTCTCTTTTACTTGTTTTAAAAAAAACTAAGGAGAGCCGAAGAATGAGACCATGGATCAAAAAGGGAAAAACATACATTCACCGGCTGTAAACTGGGGCGGAAAGTTTTTGACTCCAGCTCTGTTAGTAGACTGATCTGTCCTTTGTGTTCTGACCATTCACTGTATCAAACTCTATCCCTGCAGCTTCCACACACCTATTTCTCACCAATCTACAAACTAATTTTTGCACACATGATTTTGCTTCACACATTTAAATCTTCACTGGTGCTGTAGAGTTGATGCATTGTGTTGTTCTTGTAGTATTTAAGACAGAAGCGCTAAGGAGATGTGTGTCTAGAGAAGGCGCACTTAAGGCAAGAGGTAAACAATGCGCCATTTAAAGTGTAGAACTTAAGAGGATGATGAAGCTCTTCCTTCTATCCTGCTGCCAGCCATGTTAGCTGTTTAGTTTTGGAACAAGGAAGTACATTAAACAGTGGCTAATCCATAATGTTCACAAAACTGTTGTGTGCATAAGTTGGGTCACAACAGTCCGCTGTTAATTATTTATAATTCTCGTAAGAAAGATTCAGATGTCTGCCACCAGAGGTCCCGCTTGTCAACGGGTTTGAGTACCTAATGTTGTGCCTGATGCATGCTTTTTATGTACTGTTTATGTCCTGATGCAGCAGTGCATAAGGCGTCTAACATGTGGTCATTGAAGTCCCAGATCTGCAGGTTGATCTTCAAAGGTTGCAGCCTGTTATGTGGCAAGCTTCACATTCTTGGGTGGGCCCAGGAGCAAGCCACGTCTCTTTGCATTTATGAAAACCTCATTGGATGGTGGGGATTTGCCCATAATGTGCCCCTGCCTTTTCTAGAGAGCTGCCCAGTTGGTATTTCTCTACCCTGGTCACGTTCTTAAGGGACAACACCTGTAAGTGATGGGATAGAGGAAACCATACAAATGAGGCTATTTTGTCCTATAAAACCATTCCGGTAAAGTCTGCATCAACCTAAATGTGCAAATATTGCTAGGATGTAAGTGGTATATGCGTCTTGTGTGATTTGGTATGCGCTTTAGATTTCACTGAGTGTGCAGCTGAGACTATTGATCCTTTGCTCTTCCTTCTATCCTGCTGCCAGCCATGTTAGCTGTTCAGTTTTGGAACAAGGAAGTACATTAAACAGTGGCTTATCCATAATGTTCACAAAACTGTTGTGTTCATAAGTTGGGTCACAACAGTCCGCTGTTATTTATACTTGATAAAAGCTGGTGGTACTGTCAGGGCTAGTATACTTATCTTATGGTGGCTCTGGTGCAAACATTTATCACGTGTTCCCAGCTGTGTGGTTTTATTGGGGCTTTTCTTTTTGCCCTAGACATTACTTAAGAAGTCTCTGGCAATAGAAACTTGTGTGTTTAAGCTCAGTTCTTCAGAGATGCTTTTTACCATGTAGACAGTGACTCATCACAATACCTCCTTGTGGGGGGTGGACTCTGCTGCAACCTATGTCATAACATTGTTGCTGGAATTTGACATGTTAATGGGACTAAAAAGCCTAGAAAAGACAAACAAAAAAGAGGTAATATTTGGTAGGGGAGAAACTAGTGGCCAGTCCTTTAATGTCCCGAATGGTAGTGTAGATGTTGCTACCTTGTAATTTGTTAACAATTTTAATAGAGTTGTTATATTTCATTGTTAAAATATTATATTTTAGGATTCAACATCAGCCAGCGCAGGAGGCGAAAGAGCGCTATTGGTGCCAAACACAGGATCACCAAGGATGAGTGCATGAAGTGGTTTCAGCAGAAGGTAAGTTTTTATTAGGGTCAGATGATTGTATGAAAATTTTTCTCATTCCTCCACTGTTCATAGCTGTTCTGAAAGATGTGAAGCAGTGGTTTTGTTTTGCAATCTGCAAAACAAATGGATAGGGTCTTTGTCAATTAAGGACCCCTTAGTGGTTAGGTTAGTGTGGTTAACACTTCGCCTTCACTTCTCAGGACTTAAACTGTTATCAGTCAAGGCGATGTTGACCTTGCTGCCAAGGTCACTTTGAAAAGCCTGGCTTCACCAGATTTCTGTTTGCAGGCGAGCATCTAGCCACTTACATCACGGCGGCTCCCTATTTGGTCTATAACAGATTTCTTTTTTTAGAAAACGATCTGAATGAAAACTACAGCTTTTCAGGGTTGAAAGCTGCTTAAATGTTTTTGAGGAGCTATTTTTTGTTGTTGATACCATCAACTGTCTGGCTGTGCCTTTTACATTGAAGTCTAGCATCATATGCCTAGTGCAACGCTTGAGGGTAATAGAACTTAAATGTCAAGGCGTTTATTTGGTTGATCAAAATAATATAAGCTTTTTATGATTAATTTAGCTGATTACTGAAATTTCATTATTGCTTTGAATACAGAATCAGTATTAGTTATGCATTATAAATTAGAATACTGCTGATGGCATAGTGAGTCTGATATCTCAGAAAATTACCAGGAAAGTATTACTGGGACAACAAATAGGTGAATTTGGCTGTTGGCCAAAAGAGAAATATCACAACTATGTAAGAATACTAATACAATAGTGATATTTAACATTGTATCATCTGCTAAATGATTCCATTTTCTATTTTCAGTACGATGGTATTATCCTACCTGGCAAGTAATTTCCACTTGGTACAATAAAAAGCTGTATGATTACAGTGGACTTGTTTATTCATTTTTCATTTCATGTAAAAGTTTATAAACAAGCTTTTTGTTTTTGACGCACCCGTACGCTTGTTTTGTCATTTCTTACAAGAGTGAATGTCAAAAGTGACAGTGCATGGGAAAGTGATTCTGAGTTTTTTTTTCTTGTGAAGATCCACATAGTAGAAACTTTTTTATAGGTTATATATACACACTCACACAAACATGTATGTTGTGGCTCACTAGTGTCTGGCTATCCACTTGCGATCCACTTTCTGTGTTACAGATCTGTTGAGCTGAAACATTCATGCCCAGTCTGTGTGACCATTACCTTTGAGACACATTTGTTATCGATCTAGCGGCGCATGAGCTTTGGCCCAATGCCATGTAATGGAATTTGTATGTTTTCACTAGGGCTGTACCAAATAGTGATTTTCACTATTCGGCCGAATAAAAATGGACCAACTATTCGGCAGAATACGAAGTGTATTATCATCATCAGGTGCCATGCCGACTGGCGTGGGCGATCATGCCTCTCCACAATCTGCTATCTCCTGCAGCATGTATTAGTTCATGTGCTGACACAACTCCATGCCATGCAACAAGACTGTCAAGAATCTTCTAATTCTAAATTACCTGTTTGTATTATCCCTAAAAGTAAGATTTCTACATTTAAAGTAGAAAAGTAATGAACAGCCAGTTCCCAGAAATCCGAACTACTGACTAGAAACAGTGACACAACATGACTGTCTTCTGTGAATTAAAATTGCTGTATATCTACTTTACAATATCCGCTTGTAGATTTGTAATAGAATACGTTTAGAACACAGGACTTTGTAAACATATTAAGATGTCGCACAATGCAACATGAAAACGATGCCAGTAACCTATTTTCGAGGGGGACTCCCCAAAAATGTACCGTAGTTCAGTTAACAGGACTGAAAGATACAGATGGGCGTGGGTAAACTAACCAAAGAAGTCTAGACAACGAAAGGACATGTCTTGCACATGCTGTGGGAATCCGCTTTTGACAAGTATGTCTTTAAGGTTGCTGTAACTAATCTTGGCTTCTCACTAAAGATAATCTTGGTGTGCGGAGGATGTCCAAATGACTTAAGAATACTTTAGAAACGACCACATTGTTAGAAAAGTCAAAATCAATTTAGGTCCATCACTGGTGGAATTATGTTTGGTGGGAAAAGCATCTCTTCTGGTGATTGTTAAAACTTTGTGTAAAGTCCATTGTAGAAAGTGTTCCGGATAGAAACGGGCACGGAACAAATCAAGATTTGTCAGAATCACCGAAGCACAACCTGCACAGTCGAAGGAGCTGTAAATACGGAATAGAATTTTTACGCAGTAGTGGATGAGACTATAGAGGAGATAACTGAGAATTTGTGGGTTTGTCGTAGGCTATAGTCTTCAGACATGGGAAATCGATGTTAATCATGATGTCATGAAAGTTTACTAAAGTGGTGGAGATCAGTAAGGTGAATTTGGTGGTAGCTGGATTAAAATTGTTAATGTAACCGACAAATGTTGGGGGCATGGTTAGTGTCTTTGACAAATTAAGGGAAACTGGTGACAATGGGTTGGAAAATACTGTCTGCAAATTCAGAAAGATACACACTAGGACAGGAGTACGCAGATAACAATGGGACGTCCAGAGTTGTTGGCTTACGGATCTTAGACAGCAAGCACATACACGGTTGGCTGTCAAAGACACGCACAATGTTGGCCTGCGTGGGAAGAGTACCTCTAAAATAAATTATTGTAACGTGTCCTTGACTTTCTTTTTGTTTGAGACTGGGGTCGTCCCTTCTGGCGAAATAGAAAACGGGGTTTTTGAGTTGGGTGCTGGCTTCCTCAATATAAAGATCCTTCCTCCAAACCACTACAGCGCTCCTTTGTCGGCCGATTTATAACATCGTCCCTCTTTCTGAGGGAGGAGAGTGCCCGCCATTCATCTTTGGAGAGGTTGGATTTAGGTGAAGGCCTTTTCCCCCCAGCAGTTGGATAGTATGGAGCGTGTGGCTGATGTATTAAAGATCAAGCGCCTTAGATTTTCCAGCAGGAGGAGTCCACTGTAAACGGGATTTGTTAGCCCTTGAGAGAAATGTAGTTTCGTCAACAGGCACCGAGTGGACGGGTGGTTGACCTCAGTGATAATGTTTCAGGCTTAGACGGCGATGGAAGGAGTGTGCATCCTGGAGCAGAGTATTTGTCAGCACGCGGTCTTGAAGGGACACATCTCACGCCTCTACTAAAAAGTGAGCGTCAATCGGAGAGGGGTGGGATGCAAAGATTAGCTAGGGCTGGATTAGCAGGTGCTCCAAAGGATTGTGGGGGCCGGAAGCAGTTCATTTTATTCTTCTTTGTATTGGTTAAGGAAAGAATACACTTCTGATTGGTGGTGTGGACAGCAGCATGAAGTTTTAAAGAAAGATTTTGTAAATAAAATTATAATTTATTTGTGGCCTGCTTTTCTCTCTGCCCCCAACCACCAAGTCCTGTGGGGGCCATGACTTTTACTGTTGCTGGGGTGAAAGGGTTTTTACAGGTGATGAACAGAGGAAACTCCACCCAGGGATGTAGACGGGGCGGAGGGAGCTCAGTTGCTGAAGTAGCCGGGCACCACGTGTCAAGAACGTAATTTCAGTTATAAAAATGTCTGTTGAGAATACCAGGCACAAGGAAAGGAACAAACAATTGTGAATTGTCTACAAGTTTAATCTATTAGTCATCAAAAAGGCAAACCATAGACCTGCAGAAAAATGGACGGATGTAGCAGTGATTGTCAACATTCTAATATTGCTGATGTATTATGCGAAGGCACACATACAAATTACATTTTCATAAAACATTGGTATATTTGCAAATGTGTGCTGAAATAACCACACACACACACACAGTTGGACAGTCCTTCTAAACTCTAGAATTGCACTCTTAAATCATTGCACATGAAATGTACAGCTTACATTGTAGCTGAGCAACAATAGTTACATGCTGCTGTCTGAGTGGAGGATTCCTTATCATATTCTGCTACATCACAGCTTTTCAAGTGGCCCACTGATCACTACCAGTTGTACTCTCTTTAAATCTTTAAATGCTTGACCCCTGCCGATCCCCATTCTCCAAATTTTGACCCACAAGTAAACTCAGTTTAATAAACCTGCACTACATAGTTACTTCTTTAAAATTTCATGGTAAATTTTACTCTGGTCTCCCCATTTGGACACCACTACACACAAGCTCACTCATTGGGAAAATTAGAAAACTGAATATGCTCTCTAGTTGGCTTCCTCTTTCCATTTGATGACACCTAGTGTTTGCTGGTCTGTCTGGACATTACCTACTGATCGTCTTATTTGCCTTGTCATCTACAAATGTTTTTTTTTTTAAGCTCCTTTGCCTATACAGTTTTTGCCTCTATGCCATCCGACATTCTCTCAATATGCCCCAGCCATTTCAGTCTATTAACTCTCATGATGCACAGGTGAATTGTCTTAGTATATATATATTTCTCAAATGCTTTTTCCTAAACCTAATGGGAACAGACAAGTTCAAAATATATTTTCACATTCTGCAAAGCAAAAATCACACAAACTGAACATGACAGGTTTTGAAAGAAGCAAACTCAATCAGAAATACAATTTGAGGGAAGCAAATATCGTTCTCACAACAGTATATACATATTTCATATCACAAAAGGCACTGTCCAATGTCTCAAGTTCAAATTCATGAATTCATTTAATGCCAGCCTTCTGTCTGTTATCACAAATCTGGCATACCTAATACAATGATACCCCAGCTAACGAAGATAATTCATTCCATAATAACATTTGTCAGCCAAAACCTGATTTCTTATAGCATTCAGCTCACACTGCATTTATGTGCACATCCACTAAAACATTTGTTAGATGAATCTAAATTCATTCGCCGTGACCAAAAACGAAAAATTATCTTTGATAGCCGAAAAATTAATTAGCCGAGGTATAAATGTATATTATATAACTAAGGAGGGTAGATATTTTCTGTTGACCTCCAAGTCTACTGTATTTAGTATCATAATATATTGGCCCTGGAGAGAAAACTAATGTTGCTACTTCTTTTTAGAGGTGTTACTTCAAGAATCATCTTTATAAAACTGCAACTGTGCTAGATGCCATTGTGAAGAAGGAATCATCCTGCACAACATTAGACAACACAGATCTTTGCAGTCTCGATCGATTGGGTCTTTCATTTGCTATAGAAGGTAAAGAATATGTGATTATCAGCACACACATAAATAAATAAAATAAAAATGGGGGAGTGGTAGGGGTGGTAAAGTTCAATGCCCTGATCTTATAGGATGTCATGGGAAAATCCCAGCATTTGTTGGCCATTTGTTGTTTTTTTTTCTTAGCTTTTACAGATGTTAACTCCCACAGTTTAATTTGTTTATAAATGCAGTCATCACATGGTTCTCGCCAATGTACTCTTTACCTCTGCCCTCCACAGTAGCTTCACCTGCAAGCCTATCAGCTTGCTAATTTTCTTGTACGTCTTGTCTGCCCTAGCACGAATATATGTAACTGTTATGGGTCAGCCTCAACTGCCTCAGAGATTCCAATCACTGTCCTCCGACCCAGCCCATCTCTATCTTCCTGAGCATACTCATTGAGTCACAGAAAAAACATGTAAGGGAAAAGGGATGTGTCTCCAGCCATATTATTGCTTTGGTCACTGCCATGACCTCCATAGTCAGACTAGCAAGGTACATCTCACAACGTTGGGCCCATCTCCACCCATTTACACACTCATGATTGACCGGTCATGACACTGTGATTAGACGTTCAGTCTCGGCCTTAACCTTTAAGACGCGCAAGTATAAGTGACATTGGTGATACTCCTACTCAAGACAATGCATGCTCTACATTATATGATGTGAGCGCTGTTACCGACCCCATAAAATGTACAGCTGGCCCAAACCCCCTTCCTAAAACACTGAACCTAGGTTCGATGAGACTGCATTCTACATGCCGTAGTTTCAGACTGCACAAGACTGTGTTGCTGCAGACACGTAACGCTACTCTGCAAAAAACTAATTTCCTACACAAAATCCTAGACCGCTGTCATTTACGCACCAAGTACACCAGCATACCCTTCTAACATTGACCAAGGTAAATCAGCCTGACCAAGAACCAATGAAATGTTAGCTAGTGTGTAGATGGGCCCATGACAGCATCAGAACCTTACTTCTCAAACCAGTACTAAACTACATCAAGAGATAACAAATCAAATGGTTTTGACATTGGTCAAGACTACCAGCAGACAGTTAAACACAGAGAGCCCTGTCACTTAGACACAATAGAAGCAGGGCTAGAGGTTGACCAGAAGTCGCCGTGGATTGGAAGGTCGTGGGTTCGCTCCCTGACGGAGCCGGACTTTTCTTCAAAAAATGACCTTGGCTCCCAGGTCGACCCAGCCTTGAGTGGCTACCGGGTGCAGTCTCAGGAAGTAGATGCGGCTGGCGTGATGCTGACCACATCACCCATCTTGTGCCGTTGGTCTATAAAAATATAGGTCTAGCCCTATGTGTCCCATACGCCTAAAGGCGTGGAGAAGGGTCCTCTACTTTACTTACTTACTAGATGTTGACCACGCAGTGGTGGATAGAGGAATATCTAAGACCATAAATACTAGCTTTTACATAGCAATACCAAGGCTCACAGCCAATGCCTCTTAAAAATCTGATGCTGAAAGGCAGAACAGGGCTAGAAAAGAATAACTGAAAAAGGTATTCCAAAGTTGTTACGTTTGATGGATTTTCTAATCTCATATATTGTTTCTAGAGCAGATTTTTGTGAACTCTTAAATCCACTGCCGATTTGCTGGACCTGACACAGATTCATCCTTAAGAGAACACTGGAAAACACGTAAACAGGGGAAGACCAAGAAGAAGATGGATTGAAGGAGTCACGGACAACTTGAGACTTCATAACATCACAGCATATGAAGCGACTGAGCGCGCCCTGGCTCGGTTGCCGATCATCTGATAGACTGCGACGCCTAGCGGCACAAGCAGATTTTGACAAAAGAAGAAGATTCCAAAGTTTAAAAAAATATGCAATACAATAGAGAGGATTGACTTTTAACCTAGTTATGATGAGTCCTTTGTAGACTTGGTCAGGACTGGAGGAACTGTTGCAGCTACAGTTTTCTATGAGGCGAAGTGACCAGTCTCTTGTCAACTATATTTGCTGACCTTTGACAACAATCATGCTATTTTACAGTGTCACTATTGTAGATGCGCTTCTAGTGTTTACTAGTGAATCATCTAACCTAATTTATCCCATCATCTAGACAAAATATAATAAGGCATATATTTGGGACACTAGCAGATTTTTTCTGTGAACATCTTAATGAAATTCATAATGAGGGTCTTAAACCAGTCTCCCTCCATTTTACTAGTTCTGACCACCAAGGTGTGAGTGATATCTCAGTTACTGCTATAAAATCTGTCTCCGGTGGTCAAACCAAACACTATTTGTTAGAAAATTATTTCATTCAGTTTTAGCGTTCTCAGTCATTGAAAGTTCAATATTGACAATCAGCTATATTTGATTTCATTTGTATAATTATTCATTTATTCAACTTGTTTATATTTCTTCCCTCTTTTTTCAAATGCTTTCTTACTTTTTTTGTTTCGTAATATAACCCTTCATGTACCCCTCCAACGCCCGCATTCCACAATCCCATTATGTATTTTTTGGTTTCATGTTGACCTTTGTTGTTTTAAGGTCTGTTGTTATTTCCGTTGTTTTCCAGTCACAAGTTGTGCTGTATTTAGTGCTCCATTGAATTAGTCTGGTCTAAACATCAGCTGTATTTGTGCACATCTTTTCCATTCCCTTCATTGAGCTTTTTAGTTACATTTTTGTTGTTGTGTTGAACACTTTGAATCAAACTCAGTATTATGAGGCTGAACTCATAATCCTTATGCCTCAGACATCAACACTGTAAGAGTAAAGAACTGAAACAAAAAATAACATTCATAGTTTCAATAGGTAACCCCCCCCCCCCCCCCCCCCCCTCCCTCCATACACACACACACAAAAACAACTACACACACATTTGCACTTACCTGGCATGACCTCACTGTAGATCTCTGCTACTAGATAGATAACTAGAGATTGCCAGCTGGTTAATGTGTGGGAAAATGCATTTCTAAGGGGTTCAAATTTGACTGTTCAGTATGTAGCCATAAGAAGTAAAGGGAAATTTGAGAATATAAATTCAAAAGATTGAGAGAATACTTTGTTTCTAAATGTCCCCTCTTCTCTCTCAAATCACCCAGAAAAGAAAAGACATAAAATGTAAAAGCACACAAGCACAAAATAAATTAAGGTATGATAAAGCACAAATGTATACACTTCGCCATTCACTGTACCAGTAAAATATATGTCAATTTACCGTACACATACTGTTTCATCCATAATGACCACATATTTCTGGACGGCTGTGCAAAACAAGAAAAAATATCACATTCATGAAAAAAGCTCCAGTATATTATCATCGCATACTAGGAGAGGGTACAATTATTACACAAACATTTTCTCAGACAGAAGTAAAGACAGTATAGACAATAAACTTGCATTCATACATAATTATGACACACTGATGCTAGATTCTGCTGGCCACTGGTCAGTAAGTGTAGAGCCACAAACATCCAGAAAATGACTTCAGAAAGACACAAATTAATATGAATTTGTGTTAAAAAAAATGTTTGCAAAATCTATGAAACAAATCTTTCAGTCCTAATCAACTTGCCATGTATGTGTTGGTTTCTGCTCATCCAGTTGTTACTCTAACTAAATCTGTACCTACGTTTACTTTAACCCTTTCTGTCCCATTATGTTTTAATTGCTTCAGGTAGAAATATTTATGAGACAAATTAACAATTTCTTACTGCATAATGAAATAATATATGCCTAAGGCCGACATAAAGACTTTCTTGTGATGGTAAATAGCTGAATTGGTCAGATTTGCAGGGAAAACACTAATTACACATTTTAGAGTATTCTTTTTTACAGCATTTTTATACTTCTTTACATTCTCTCTTTCTGATTCTGATGTTGATGGAAGCATCTTATACACTAGAATTTAATCTTATAATTCTGTAGCTTGTTTTGACAGAGGCAAGTGAAAAATGGGGGAATGCTGTGCATAAAACAAGAGATATTAGTGATTTGATAGCACACAGAGAAAACATTCTGCTAGCGTTTATCTAGAATGAAAACACTCTGCTAGCACTTATCTAAAATTAAAACATCCTGCTGGCGTTTATCTAAAATGAAAACACTCTGCTAGTGTTTAACTAAAATGAAAACACTCTTCTGGTGTTTTTCTAAAATGAAAATATTTTGCTGGTGTCTAATTAAAATATAAAGACAGCCAAGTGCATACTACTAAATAGCAAGCAATGCATCAGCCAATATTTACATGATTTCATGGCACACTGGATGGACAAGAGACCAGAGTCTTCTTGTGTCATGGGGTTTTTATGTAAACAAGGTCATTGTAGACATGGCAAAAGACTACAGAGGATCATCACATGAGTTCTATCACTGTAAAAATTCGGACAGTATGAGCAAAAATGACAAAACATGATGAGAAAAGTACATCTACATCGCTGCATAGCAACTCTACAAACACTCCCTAGAATCATCTGTTGCTCTCCATGTTATCGGAAGCTAAAACAAATATATCAGAGTTATCGCTGTCTATGGGTAAATTTCTCCTGGCAATTCCCCCAGAACCGAGGTTGACACCATCACTGGCATTCACAGTGTTTGCCTGGTTGGACTTTTTTTTTTCTTCTGGTGTTCTGCCTGAGACTGATGCTTCTGTTGATGTGTCTGTGGTTTCTGAAGCCAAATCATTGACGCTTTCGCCATGTCCCTCTGAACCAGTTCCATCTCCATCCACTTTTTTCTTTCTGTCCATCCTGCGTCTGCGACGGGCTCTGGCTTTTTCCAGTTTGGGCAGCACCACCTCATTGCCAGAATCCACACCTTGAACTTCATTCCATACTTGCCCCTGTCCTGCAGTGTCCATGGGAACTGGTGCCACTGTCTTAACAACAGCTGCCTTATTCTGACTTTCCCCTGAAGATTGTTGGGATTGAGATGTCATGACAGGCTGGGGACTTGGAATCTGGATTGTCTGCCCTTGAGCAAGAGTCGGCCCAGATGGTTTTGCAGTTACTGCTGTGGCTTGGTTCAGTTTCGCAGGTTCTCTAATAGGCGGCGGAGCCTTGTTAACTGGTAAGGTCACAACTGGACTCTCCAAAGTAATAAAGTTTCCTTGAGGATTATCCATTTGAATCTGTTGTTTAGGTTGAACTGAAGTGACAACTGGCTGCTCCAAAATTCTGCTAAATGTATTCTGGGGCTGCACAGTTTTATTTACTGCAGGACTAGGGACAGATTTTGCATCGACTCCTGGCTTCTTTTCTGTCTGTCCAGTTCCTGGCACTGCTGATGGGGAAGTCAGTGTTGCCTGAGATTTGCTGATTGGTTCTGGTATCCTGTGTCCTGAGGTCACCAACATCTCTGACTGCTTTTCTCCAGCTTTGACTAGGTTTTGACCTTTTGATGAAATGTGAGAACTGGCTTGTGTTCCTGACAGACTGGAAACTTCTGTCTCTGGATGCAGGGCTTCACTGGAATCATTTAGGTCAATACTGAGGTCTGCTACAGAATCAAATGACCAAGTACTAGCCACCGATGGCGGACCATCAGAAAACTGATTTGCATCAATGGCTTTATCATGTGTTGGGATAGGAGGGTAAAAACTCTCTGGAGTCTGAGTACTTTTTTCCATGAAGATCCGTGTCACGCGGTCATGTGACGTCTGTGTTTCCTGTGTAGTCAGCTTGTCCTTAGTAGGGAACTTCATATCTGGAAGGCTCAGAGATTTATTTTCAGCTCTCTCTGATTTAAACTTCTGCATTTTGGCATTCCTTTCTTTTTCTAATTCAAGGATTTCATGTGGCAAGCGGCGGACATAAGTGGATTTTGGTACAAACTCTGAGGCACCTGGATTCAGGACAGATCCTGTTACATCTCCTACCTTTAGAGAGACAGATTGATCAAAAACTTCATCATCGAAAGAGCTCTCTAAAGGTTTCTGTCCAGAGGGTGGTGTCTTTTCTCTAAACTGCTTCTCCCTGCGCCTTCTTCTTGCTGTCACTGGTGCCTCACCTTTTGATTCAGTCCTTTGTCTAGGTATAGGTCGGTCCAGTACATTCCTAGGCACTTCTTCAGGCTCAAAATCAACTCGTCCTAATTCTCCATAGTCTAAGCTCTTAGCCTGTTTCAGTGTATCTTGATGAGCTGCTCTATGACGTCCCATCACACCAACTGGTTTATCATTAGCATTACTGGTATTGGCTTCTAGTTTACTGGTATTAGCCTCTGGTTTACTGGTGTTAGCTTCTGGTTTCACCACATCACTAGAGTCTTCATTCTTCGGCTTCCGTGCAGCACCATCAGTAGCATCCACATTTTCTTCCAATTCCTGAAATGCACTCAAATCCATAGGATCCTCCATAGTGTGATATCTACCAAACTTTGTGAACCTATCACGTTTTGAATCAGCTGCAGCAAGACCAGAGAATTCTCCATGTGTTTCCTCTTTTGCTTTGGATTCGGTGGGCATAGAACTGTCTGTTGTTCCACTGTTTATCTTGTTTACCTTGACTTCGGCTTCCTTTTTTGCTAATTCTCCTACACCCACCTCTTCCCCTTCCCCCACTTTTAAATCAGTATTTGCAGAAGTATTAGAAGCAACACCATTAGGCTGTAAGGAGGTATCATTACTAGCAAGCTCATTCAGGTTAGCACTACTAGAATTAGCTGAGGCATCGGAGGGTTCACTATCTTTAGGGACGCTCATCAAAGTATTCTCTCGTTCTTTATGTCGAATGGACTCAAAGAGTGGGTGTCTGAGTGCTTCTTTTAGGGAAACCCGTTGCTCAGGGATGTACTCTAGCATCTGCTCCACCAGTTCTAGGACTTGAATATGATCTTGGCCCTTGTCTCTCAGGTAATGCTGTGGAGAGATTATGACAGAATGAAAACACGTGGATTCTGGAAAGTGATTCATGTGTTTGGATTTAGTAAAGTGATTAATGACACACTAAGTGATTAATGAAATTAGTGAGGTGGTTTCAGGTTTGTGGATCTAGTAAGGTGATTCATGAGTTAAGATTTAGTGTGATGATTCATATGTGTGGATTTAGTGAAGTGATTATTTTGTATGGATTTAATTTTATGATTTATGTGTGTGTGGATTTAGTGATATGATTAATGTGTGTGGATTTAATGATATGATTGATGTTTGTTGATTTAGTGATATGAATAATGTGGGTAGATCTAGTGATGTGATTAATGTGTATCAACTTAGTGAGGTGATTCATGTGCATGGATTAAATGAGGTCATTCAGGATTTCACATGTTCAAATTAGTAAGGTGATTAATGTCTTGAGATTTTAGTAAAGTGATTCATGTGTGTGGATTTAGTGAGGTGATTCATTTGTTTAGATTCAGTGTGATGAGTCATATGTGTGGATTTAGTGAAGTGATTCATATGTTTAGATTTTGTGTGAGGTTTAATATGTGTTGATTTAGTGAAGTGATTCATATGTTTAGATTTTGTGTGATGTTTAATATGTGTGGATTTAGTGAAGTGATTATTTTGTTTGGATTTAGTGATATGATTCATATGTGAACAGTTCACATATCTTGACAGTGTGGTATCCCTATTTGGAGGGACAAAGGAAGACTTATAATCATGCTTGAACAAAGCTAGAGTAACTTTTGGAAGGATGAGATAAATCTGGAAATCCAACAATTACTGTAGAGGAACAAAACTTCGACTCTACAAGAGCATAATTTTACCACTGCCTCTTTATGGAGTAGAATGCTGGAGAATTACCAAAAAGGACGCGCACAAGCTATCTACCTTCCACCACACATGTTTATATAAAATCATCAAATTTTTTGGCCTGATAAAATCTCAAACACTAAACAACTTCAAGTCAAAATCCAAGAAACACCCTAGATAGTATGATAACAAAGAGAAGATAGAAATGGCTTTGCCACATCATGAGCATGAATCCTAATATACCTATCAAAACAGCTCTCACTTGGATACCAGAGGGAAAGAGAAAGAAGGGACACCCTAAAAAAACAGGGAGACGAATGATGGAAAGTGACTGATTGGTCTATAAATTTTAGGTCTAGCTCTATATTTCCAATACACCTAAAAGCTTGGAAAATGGACCTGTATTTTACTTTACTTACTATATCTATTCACCAGACTCGCTGTGTCAGTTCTAAGTTGGTTACTATATCTATTCACCAGACTCGCTGTGTGGGTTCTAAGTTGGTTACTATATCTATTCACCAGACTCGCTGTTTGAGTTCTAAGTTGGTTACTATATCTATTCACCAGACTCGCTGTGTGAGTTCTAAGTTGCAGTAAGAGACTTATTAAGGAAGGGTATTTGCTTAAAAGTCAGAGTGCATCTACCTGATAGCTCAGGAACCAGCAGTCGTGTTTGAAGTCTGCATACAGATAAGCCAAATCCGTAAAACAGATGTGCATGCAAAACTCAAGCTCTGGAACAAGAATAAAATCAAGAAGTGGGTGAACCATCAGAACCTCCGACTGACGGCCAGTGAAGACTAAGAAGAAGATCCACTAGACATCCATTTGTCAATTTTATTATTACGCATTTCCCTCTGGCTTACTACAAACCTGTAAATATGTTGAAGTGAAGTCTGCTTTACAAGATCATTCAAAAGCACTAAAAAAATGTTTTTTCAGATGAGCATTTTAGTCATCTTTTGACAACTGGCAAATTGAAAATAAAACAAAAATTAGCAGTCAAATAAAAAAAAAAATTTCACAGGGAGCTTAATAGTTATGAATTGAATCCTTCTTTTAGGACAGTGACTGCAAGACATCTCACTGTTATGTGAACAATTTTGACAGCAAGTAATTACAAAACAAAAAAGCTGGGAAATTTATTGAAAAAATATGTATCCTCAGCACAAAATGCACTAAAGGTTTTTAAATTTGTAAAATGGTACATTTTTTCATAAATAGGGGCAGCTTAAATAGTTAGAATTTGAAAGTATTTCAAGCCTAAGAGTAAAGTAGATGTTAGAAGCAAAGATAAAATCTGAAAAATGTGCAAATATTCACATAAGCTTCCATTCTTAACTCACTTCACTTACTATTTCAGTCTCAGATGATTTCAAAATAGATCTTTCAAGGGACAATAACAACAATGAAAATAAAAATTTAGGTACATAATGTTCAAAGACTTCAATCACATTTACCATGTTGTATGTTCAAAAATATTTTGCCAGATTTCATTAGATAGCTCAGGCCAAAGAAACAGTTTTAATAACACACAATGCATTGCTTGATGCACATGGAAAACACAGATTACATATGATGTGTTCCTTTAGAGTAGAACAAGTTACATTTATCACCGATAGAATATTGCTGCATGCATGTCATGCTTTCCAGAAAACAATACCACTTTACTTGTATGCAGGACAAAAGCAAAGATAAAACCAATGCACACATTTATATACACATCAGTTAGCTGCATATAGTGCAGCCCCACACTTACCTAGATTGTATAAGTTCGTTTCTATTTTAATAATAATCCTCTTGAGGTATAAATGGCATATAGAAATCCTATTGTTTTTCACAGAACAGATTATAAAAACACACTAGTTATCTGCATTTTGAGCAGTCCTACCCTTTCCCTGTCTTTATTTCATTAATATCATATTCAACCCTAAGATTGGGATATATAGAGCCTCCTGTTTTTATATCTGGATAACTAATGCTTTTTTTATATGCAATATTCTATTACAGGTAATTATGTTATTCAAATTGTGCCACCATTTATGAGTATATTTATAGCTCTTCAATGAGTGAGTGAAATTATTAGTGTTTTGCTTTGCAATGCTGATATCCCTGTATGAATTCCTGGAGCCCCATTTTGGGAAAAAAGTGGGGAGGGGGAGGTATAGACCTATTCTCCCCCGCCCCCCCCCCCAACAAGCATGTCATAAGAGTAGACTAATTAGGGATGTCTCATTTGAAGTCTGAGCGCATCTGCCCAAAAGGTAACAAACCAACCGTCTGCATAAAAATGTGACAGATCTGTAACATGGAGATGCATGCACTACATAGGTTTTGAAACAAGATTAAATGCCAGAAGTGGATAAACAACAGGAACTTTCCACCAGAGTTTACAGCTGGCGAACATGAAGAAGAATAATATTGATATCTTTTATGGGAATGCTTCATCTTGTGATATACTTGTATATTCTTCCTTTAGATGGCTCAGTCATACTAAACATACCAGGATCTTGGCAGTGTAGCATCACTGAAATCCCTTAATAAGCAAATCCAAGGTACAAGAGCAAAAGAGAGATCAAGAAGTGATAATGTGTGGGAGTGAGTGAGTGAGTGAACAGTGCCGAGGCACAGTCAGATCCTTACTGTCTGAGGAGAATGGCTCTGCAAGGAGTTACAAGGAGATCTGGCTGATGCTCCACACTCAGGGAAAAGGCAAGACGGATATACAATCAGACAGTTACTGGTACCATCAGAATTTTAACTCTTCACTTGCTGCTGAAGATGGGGATGGAGCGCTTATGAGGGTGTCCTGAGTGCTGTGATGTCGATTCTTAATTCAACATTCAACACTGAATATAGTATGTGACTAGATTTACATGCACATAAATATGCCATAAATGTAAAATACATAGCAGATTCTAAGGCCAACTTGTGTAGATTTACCTGTTAATTCATCCGCCCATCCATCTACCTACATATCAATTTTCAGTTAGCCATCTCTAACAAAAAATTAAAAAGTAAATACATTATATATGTATAATAAAGCACAGATTATTTCCTATTTATGTGAGTAAAGCATTCAGCATCAAAAGTAATTCCATAGCGAATACTACTTAACCTCCCCGTGTGGGTTCCAGGGCCCTATTGTGGGGAAATCAAGGATAGACCCACTGCCTCCCCAACAAGCATGTTGTAAGAGTCAACTAAATGGGAGATTCCTTCAAATTCGGAGTACATCTGCCTGAAAGGCAAGGAACCAACAGTCTGCATGCAAATAAGTCAAACCTGTGAAACTGATGTGCACTCAACACTCAGTTTCTGGAATGGAACTCTCCCATGTGGGTTCTGGGCCCCATTGTGGAAAAAAACAAAAATAGATCCAATGCCTGCCCAAAAGCATATCGTAAGAGTTGACTATTGGGAGCTTTTTTTGAAGTCAGAGTACATCTGCTTGAGAGGCAAGGAACCAACAGTCTGCATGCAAATGAGTCAGACCTGTGGTGTCACTGTTACTTCAACATTATGTCATAACAAAGTTAGATGACATCACATAGTCAGCCATCAAAACCATATAATTCTTGAATTACGGGAGTGAGAGCAGTTACTTCTTTACGCTATTTGTATTTAATGATTAAATTCATTACTAGACCTCACATTTATTTTGGTTTGAAAATTAAAATTAGTTTTCCCCCGTGTGGGTTCCGGGGCCCCATTGTGGGGAAAACAAGAATAGACCTACTGCCTCCCCAAAAGCATGTTGTAAGAGTCGACTATTTGGGGAGCTTCCTTTGAAGTCGGAGTGCATCTGCCGGAGAGGCAAGGAACCAACAGTCTGTATTCAAGAGAATGAGATCTGTAAAACTGATATACACGCAACACTCAGGTTCTGGAGCAGGACTGCAGTTCAGTAGTGGACGAGCAACCAGAACTTTCCGCCAGAGTGTACAACTGGTGAATGCGAAGAAGAAGAAGAAAATTAGTTTTGAAAAATAATTGTTTAGTGCCTTGGAGGGCACTGTGTTACAGCTTGTTGGCTTGCTTATCTACATGGTGGTTATAAGTTTCAATCTCCTGGATGTTTATAAAACTGACCAAGACTCTAAATGTCTTCTGCTTCTTCTCTTTCTCTAGTTTCTTGAGATAAGAGTTTTTGAGAAATATAGTTTAGAGTTTGAAGTTTGAACAACAGATCAACATCATGGCACACGGATAGTAACCCACAAGTGCTTATTCATTCTTATTCTAACTTAAGTCTGATTTTGAAGAAGCTCAGCACAGTGCACAGGCTGAGAAATATAAGGATGTGCAGGGTCTCCCAAGCTGGAAAGGTTGAAGGGTAGAGAGCAGACAAAGAGAGGCAACCTGGTCCTCCAGGTTGAGGGTTGAAGAGTGGGGCCGACACCCCTACCTTCGTGAAGCTTTATTTTATCATGAAACAGATATCTAAGGCCAACCATAGAGATGAGTGTTGGCGGGTGATATCTGCAGCAATGAACTTCAAGGGATCAGAACGCTGAAGAAGAAGAAGTCATTTTTTTTTAAAAGATTCATTTACGATGACTAAATTTCTTGCTCAGAATATTGTGTAAACCGCATAAGGAGATGGCATTCAGTTTCATAAGTTCAAAACATATCTTGCTGCTCTCATTAAACAAGGAAACAAAGTTAACAACAACAAGTTTATACACTGTAATCGCCCGAAGTGAGCTGTATCTAAATGTACATTTGCAGTATTTGAATACATTACAGTAGCAATTCTTCTTCTTTTGTCTGCTTGAAATAAATTATTTATATCTGCAATGTTGTCTGTAGTATAAACTTCACTGTCTTTTGTAATTCACTCAGTGACCCGTAAAGTTTGACTTGCATCAATGTTTCTCTTGGCCAAAAGTGTTGCCTTGATATGCAGTATCAATGAGTTTTTAAAAATAACAACCTGTATAAACATTTTCATACTAAATTTATTCAGACACAAAGAGATGCATACAAGTTATAAGTGATTTAGGAAATTACTACAGGTGCCGCAAGTGATTCCCATTAGCCTCCAGACAATTGTCATAAACAAATTACCACATGTAGCTACAGTAATTCTAAATATAGTGAAATATGTCACAAAATGATGACGTTTTCAAACAAGTTGCCTCTATGAAAATGTTTATGCATTTCGTTACTGGGCAGTTACTGGGTATACATTTTTTGTGTGTGGCTCACTCTGTATGTCACAATATACAAAACACAAACATTTCCAAAAACATTGGGAACATGTCTACATTGTGCATTCTACAAAGCTTGTTTGGTTTTTACATGCAAACATCCATCAATATTGTATAGAGACATACCTGGAGGCATGAAACAAGGTCATTCCTGTCATGCTGCATGTCAGACACACATTTTATATTAGTCTGTTTCTATTTATGCACATATTACAGAGGCTAGATTTGTATGCAGTCATAAACAGCTAATAAGGTCTTACTCCTTGATACAGATTATTATGCAATCATAAACAACTATTAAGGTCTTACTCCTTGATACAGATTATTATGCAGTCATAAACAACTAATAAGGTCTTACTCCTTGATACAGATTATTATGCAGCCATAAACAACTAATGAGGTTTTACTCCATGATACAGATTAAGACTGTAAACTGATGAGAGAAATGAGACTTAAGCAGTCAATATTTTCGGGGTATGTTATCAGAAGGAATAGACAGAAAACTTGGTGAAAACTTGCACCACTGATGGATTTTTAAAAAACTGGAAATAAAAAAAAAATTGTAGTTTGCAAAAATAAATACTTATAAAGTTTAAAAAAAAAAAAAAAAACATTACTTGAAATGCTTCTTTGTAATGCTTGAATATTTCAAATTTTATGAAACTCACAATACATTTTTGATTTACTTTTCATCTACCAAAGCTGCATCATCTACTCATACTTAACTCTTTCAGTCTCAAACAACGCATGATCTGTGGATCGTTCTATCTGCTGATCCTGTCCTTAGTTTGATATGCTCTATTACTTTTTTGTATTTGGTCAGAACACACTCAAGAAATCTGGCTTATCCAGTAGTCATTACTACTGTTAACAGCTATCAAAGTAATGTACTTATACATTTTAATCATGGATTTTTCTTCATGGATACGTCACATTTAACCTCCTTCTGGTACTAAAAAAGTTGAGAAAATTTATTTATATCATTTATATTGTTATTCAGTTTTAAAAAAAAAAAACACACACACACAAGGCACTGTATTTTTGTAAAAGTCTATGGTTAGAAAAATTTATGACTAAATTACTGTTTAAATTCCAAGCAGAAGTCCTAGCAATACTTAATAAGTGATGGTTTCTTCACCCTGAATCACATCCATTACATAATGTGTCATCTTCTTTTATCATTTGGTCAGGGCATACTAATGAAATTTAGCTTTCCCAGGGTCAGTTTGGATTTACTCTGTTTGAAATAACACTTTTGATATTTCATAGCTGTTATTTTATTTCTTAGGCACCCTCTGGGACTCAGAGAGTTACAAATTGTCAAAATAACAATGTACTTAACATGCTGAAATGTTTCTATGTTGTTACATCATCAGACATTAATAACAAGAGAAATAGGATTTAAACCAGGCAATGTATGACATAATTAGAACTGAAGTTATGGGGGCTGCAACACAGCAAATGTCAGAGTCTCCTGACATGGTCATGCATGCAGTCATATGGTAAACTTCAAGGCGCACTCTGCAGGCATACTCACAAAGAGAGGTTTGCAGTTCTCTCTAACATAACGCCCGGACGAAGTGGTGGGATCCCAGTCCAGGCGGCCATGCCAGAAGTAATTTGTTCTAAGATGGTATGTTTACTACATTATTCACACTGTTTTGTGTGAGAGCATGTGTGAGACAGAAAGAGAGAATATGTGTGTGTGATACACAAAGAGAGAGCGGGAGAGACACAGAGAGAGAGAGAGAGAGAAACAGACAGAGAAAGGACAGAAAAACAGAGGAATTAAGTAGTTGAAGCTCTTGGATTTATTATAACAGAGGCAATCACCCAGATAGGATAGGGAAAAATCATATGCTAGTTATATGTAAATATGCTGATATTTCCCAGGTCAACCCAGCTTCAAACTAGTACCAGGTAAAGTTTTGGAATGTCGGCTGTCATGATGTTGACAACATTTACCCACAGAGTGCTGTTTGGTCTATAAAATATAAATCTAGCTCTATATTCCCAATACACCTGAAGACAGGAAAAAAGGTCCTCAACTTTACTTTTAGCACTGATATTGTGTCAAGCTTTCTTTAATTCTTTTACGACTTAAATTTTGGCAACAGATTTCCCCCCATGCTTATAAATCTCTGTTAAAATTTAAATTTCATTGTTAACATAGATTTCAAAATCATATTGACAAAAGAAGTGGTAATGATGAAGATACATAGATTTATAACAGGACCAGTGGTGGCTAACGGCTAAAGTACCAAGTGACAATGGGAGGGGGAAGGGCAGTTTCCTAGTGCCTATCACAAGCTCCCAGTGACTCAGCAGGGCAGAGGTTTGTACTAGTATCACTATACCAGCTCCCCCATGTGGGTTCTGGGGCCAGATTATGGGAAAACAAAAATAGATCCACTGCCTCCCCAACAAGCATATTGTAGGAGTCGATTAACTGGGGAGCTTCCTTCAAAATCAGAGTGCATATGCCCGAGTGGCAAGGAACAACCAATTACACACGAATAAGCCAGTTAACGGATCTACATGCAAAACTCAGGCCCTGGCATGAAGCCAAAATCCAAACAACCAGGAACAATGAACAGCCAGGACTTTCCACCGGAGCTTACAGCTGGTAAACAACAAAGAAGAAAAAGAAGACAAGCTCCCACTGACCAGGACATCACACACACAAAAATCAAGTTTAGTTGAAGTTGTGACATGTAATGCTAGGAAATATAAGCCAGAAATATTGGCTTCCTAGATTTATTTTTGGAGTTAATTACCCTGCATTAACTCTTACGTCTGTGTAAAACTCATTAAGTGCAAATAATTTCTTTTCAAACAGCTAGTTGCATATCCTTTACATGACGTCACAGAATCAACTCAAGCAGTTGTATCACTCTTTGGTTTTACTTAGTAATTTAACGTTCAGTACTTCGCCTCTGCTTTCAGAATGAGCAGCACGTTATACCACTGTCAAAATCAACACAATGTGGTCTAAATATTAAAATCAGCTATTTACATACAACCACATTTATCTAAAAAGATCAGATAAAAGCTCAGGAATGTTTGCTAATAACAATCCCCCCAAAATACAAATTAAATTAAAAAAACGACAACATCAACTGCTTTGTACTCACTTTGTTTTCTTAGTCATGCGATAAGGCATGGAGCCTAAGATTCTCTCCATCATCGCCAAATGCTCTTTGTTGTCATGAGTCTGAAAAACCTATACTATGTTAACATACAAAATATACTGTATGTGGAATTCTGGGGAAAAAGTGAGAGATACATTGGGAAAATCAATTGCTTGCTTATCATTTAAGTAATTATAATTCAATACCTTTTTATTTTAAATTTAAAAAACAACCCTAATTATTCAAATATAACAGCTGGATGAATGTATGAAAGTCTTAACTGAGCAATGAAATTGTTTTAATAGACTGTACTTTATTTTCTGATATCTTGGTAGATTTCAAAATTTCTACTTTCCTGTTTGCGAATTACTTCTTACCTTTTTTAAATTACTTTAACTAAATCGTCCTTATGAAAGAAATTTTGCCATGCATAAACTATTATTTTAATTTTACTTTTTAATAATAACTCATAAATGAAAGAAGCCAGGATGTTCCTCTCACTTGACGTTAGGCTGTGATGTTTCTCTTATTTGAAATTTAACAATGATGTTTCAGTAAAAACAAATGGTATTTTTTAATCTGAAATTCCAAACACCATATGAAATTGAACCCTGAACTAACTGAAAGCTACTGCAGCCTGCAGCTCATACACTTTTGAGAAGGAAAATGATCTAGGGCACTGTGTGAAGAGAATGAGAAAATGATCTAGGGCACTGTGTGAAGAGAATGAGAAAATGATCAGGGCACTGTGTGAAGAGAATGAGAAAATGATCAGGGCACTGTGTGAAGCAATGACAAGAGAATGAGAAAGTGATCACTGTCTTACCTGAAAGAGGGTGTATCCTGTGTACAGTTCAAACATAATGCAGCCAATACTCCAGACATCACACGGCTGGGCCCAACCAAGTTCTAAAAGAAATTACATTATATTAGATTGACCAGTTGTGTCATCTTAATTCTTAAATGCAGGAGGGTTGGCATTAAAGGGTTGGTAATGAAAAGTATGGGGTCTTGGTGGCAAAGTGGTCAAGCCATATTCTTCGCAGTCTGATGGTCGTAGGTTCATTTCATGGCTGCATGTTTCAGCTCACAAGCAGCATTGTTATGGAGACTCCCGTAGATTGTTGCTGGAGCTACAGTGTTCATAGTTTGTGTGACACTCTCAGCAGGCAGCCAGCCATTCTGTGGTAACAGATGGAGCCATATGGAATAAAAGCTGGTGCAAAGAAGTCAATGCTCTCACTGGATGAGGCCTCAACCACCTTTAATGAGACGTGAAGCTAGTAATTATCATAAACATTTTGTCTTGTATCCCCCTCCCCCTCCTTTTCTCCCCCCCCCTACATCCTCCCTCTCCCCTCCAGAGTATTTACACCGTTAACGATCCATATTTTTCACGGCTGTCCTCTTGCTCTTATAGGTGATCTTTTAGGAGTAGTGCTAGTGATGGTATTTGGTGTTGCTGCATTCTATTGAGATGGGCAAACCACTTGATCTGCAGTTTCTTAACAAATCTAGTACAAGGTGTCATTCCCATAATTTGTCTGATAATATCATTATTCACTCTACCTCGGATGGTAAAGTTGGTGGTTTTTCTCATCTCATCTCACAAGTAGTGATTTTGCATACGTGTGCTTTGAACAGTGTCGATATTTGGCACTGGTAGCTTAATGATGGAATGAATGTGCTGTTGTATTTATTTTTTTTAACATTTCCTTAATAACTCTGTAGCTCTGAAATAGTTTAATTACAAGTGAAAACTAAATGAAGCAGAAACATCCATCATGAAACATGGGAAAATCCAACATCCTTTAAGAACCTCATACATGCAGCCACATTTTTAATTATCTTTTGCTGTTGTTAATGCTAAAATGTATCGGTAGGTCAGTGAAATAGCTGCTGAACTTGTTGATTTGAGTCATGATTCAGCACAAGGATCGATGAAGTGGCCTCTTGTCTTCAGTGACCACATCATACTCTGTGTATTCTAGGGCCCCATTTTAGGGCAACCACGAGCAGACTCACTGCCCATAAAAAAGGATGTTGTGAAAGATGACCAATCAGGGGTTTGCTGAACACTAATGTGTTGGGCCAAAAGGCGCAGATACTGCAGCCTAGAGGTTGGTCCATAGCTCTGTTGATTAGAGTTTAGTGAAAGTATTTCCCAGTTTCATCCTTGGTGTAGGGTTTGATTCCCATGGCGGATAGTTTTATTTAAATTTAAATTTAAAAAAAAAAGTTCTAGCGGCATTGGGACACTGGTACAACACTCTCATTCCTACAAGAGATTATGGCTTCATCAAGCAGCATTCCTAAAATCAGCAACTGGCACCACAGTCAACTTTCGCTTGGGAGGCGGCACACAGTTTTGGGTACTCCTGTCAAATCCGGACGAAGAATAAAAAGCCTTGGACGACTTAGTCAGAGTTCTCTCCCTTGGCCGCACTCCAAACAGTGATCGGAAAAGCCAACGAAACAAAGAAGACAGTCACGTCGACATCAGGGCTGCCAATGCTTGGTTGTTTCCCCCAGATCTGGGTTTTTTTTTTCGACGCTGCAGGACAATTCTGGTTTTTTTTGGGTGTGTTTTGTTTGTTGGTTTTTGCCGATTTGTATGCTTTAATGATCGATAAATTTGCGTGGTTAGGGGTAGGGGTTAGGGTTAGGGATTAGGATTAGGATTAGGGTTAGCGGTAGGGTTAGGTTTAGCGTTAGATTTGACAATTTTGACGCCGGAGTTCCCTATAATCGCGCACAGTCCCATACACACACAAACAATCGAGGGCCTCTGGATGCTGGTCAAACGCACAATTCGCCAACGATTGGGGGCACCAGCCGCACGCTATTGGCGTCATATTTGGCAGAGTTTCAGTGGCGCCACTCCCACAAATATCAGATTGTCGGCCAGTATTTCGAAATCCTACGTCAAAATTTTCACATCTAACCCTACCCCTAACCCTAACCCTACCCCTAACCCTAACCCTACCCCTAACCCTAACCCTACCCCTAACCCTAACCCTAACCCTACCCAACAACCGCATGATGACTACACAACCATTCACGATGCCTCACGCAACCGTAGGCAGCCCTACACGCAACCGTAGGATGATAGGTAAGTGTGTCGTTTGTTTCGTTGGCTTTTCCGATCACTGTTTGGAGTGCGGCCAAGGGAGAGAACTCTGACTAAGTCGTCCAAGGCTTTTGTTTCTTTGTCCGGATTTGACAGGAGAGCCCAGTTTTGTTCTATTTGAGCTGTAAATCTCAACACAACATGCTGACAATCCTGTCAGGGGCAAATGTAGAAAAAAGAACATAAGGAAGAAGATTAGGTTTTAACTCCTTCGGTACCAAAAAATTTGACAGGAGATGCTTAAGAATGGATGAGAAATATCATTATTAAGCCTTAATTTCATTAAGTGCAATAATTTCGTAGAGAATAAATACACAGTAGAAGTGCCCACATATTTTTAGTATGCTGTAACCAGATGTAAATAAACACATAATGCAACATTGCAATTCAATTGGGCATATGTAAAAGATCATGCATTTCTTGGGATTCAAGAAGTTAAGTTGGCAATGTTTCTTCACAAGTTGTAAGTATTCAACTGTCAACGGACTTCAAACATACGCCTATGGGGAGATAAATAAAAAATAAAAAAAAATAGAAACATACCTAAAATAACTTCAGGGGCTCTGTAGTGGCGGGTGGAGACAATGGTACTGTGATGTTCATGGTCGAAAGTGGCCGACCCAAAGTCGATCAGTTTTATGTCTGTGTTCTTGATTCTCCGTTCATCTCTCTTCTGTAAGCATATGAGGAAAATTGTAAAACATACATTTGTTCGCTCCTACAAAAAAAAAAAAAAAATATATATATATATATATATATATATATATAATATGACCATATTCAACCATGGTTATAATTATAGTCTAGTTTTATTTGTGCCAAGTACAATGGCTCAAACGTTTTGTTGTGAAAATAGTTCTGACTTATTGTCTCTTACTGTGTGTGATGCTGTCATTTATGAACATGTCTGGTTTGTCTCTTGCGGTCCTGATCTGGCTTTCATTTTGCATGCCCATCTTTCTGGCTGTAACTTCTGTATTTAGGGTGTGACTGTTATTTATAAGTCACATCCTAAGCTGTTCTACTTATATCTTGTGTGGTGGTTTTCCCCATCAGGTATTATTTCCTGTCATCTGTCTTTGAGATCCTTGTCATTATTTATGTCCTTGTTGGGTTGTACTGATGTGGATCAGTCCTACTGCAGTTTCATTCCATATTCTAAGTATAATGCACTTAAGTAAGGGTTAAGACATGTAAGTGTTATGCTATATTATTTATAAGAGGAGGAACAAATGTCAGTTAGTTCGACGTTAGTCTTCCGAGATCCCGCCTATATACACTAGCTCACTTCTGACTGGTAGTTCCTCAGCCCCATGACCTCAGCACATGGTTATGGAGGTGTTCCGCAATGCTGTTGATATCGCATGTTGTGTATTTCAGTAGGCCAGCGCTTTTAATATACCAAAAACATGGAGAAACGGGGTCTCACACACATCCCCCTAGAGAGTACTGCAACCTATGTCACAGGTATTATCTTTCTCTCTGCAAGACGTCGCAGAAACCAGACAACAGAGCAGGACACACCTGTAACCTTCAGGAAAGTCGACCAGCCCACCTACTTGTGATTAAAAAGTGACCTACTCTATTTGGTTAGACTAACGTCGATCTAACCCAAATTTGTCTATGCGATACACCCCCTCCCCCCACCCACAACACACATACACACTACATCCTTCCCACATAGACCTGCAGGTGACACCTGGCTGGTGGTGTAACCTTTACAGGTGACCTAATTATCACTTCTCTGGAGGTTGAACAGGTTTTCTGGGATCTGCCTTGTTGGTCTGCCGTCCAGACTGGAGTGTTTAAATCTTAGGAGAGTATGATAAATCTCTAGGTAGCAGCCCAGAGGGGGCAAACTGACTGATTGATCAAACACCCAGAAACAATGGACAGCAGATTACTTCATAACCGTAGGCTGCCCCAACATAACCATAGGCTGCCCCAACAAAACCTTAGGCTGCCCCAACATAACCGTAGGCTGCCCCAACATAACCGTAGGCTGCCCCAACATAACCGTTGGCTGCCCCAACATAACCGTAGGCTGCCCCAACACAACCGTAGGCTGCCCCAACATAACTGTTTGCTGCCCCAACATAACCGTAGGCTGCCCCAACATAACCATAGGCTGCCCCAACATAACCGTTGGCTGCCCCAACATAACCGTAGGCTGCCCCAACATAACCGTAGGCTGCCCCAACATAACTGTTTGCTGCCCCAACATAACCGTAGGCTGCCCCAACATAACCGTAGGCTGCCCCAACATAACCCTTGGCTGCCCCAACATAACCGTTGGCTGCCCCAACATAACCGTAGGCTGCCCCAACATAACTATGTTTTAGGGTTGATTGAGGTTTCTAGGATCTACTCCTGCTGGATTTGCATCTGACTCTTAAAGTCACAGGGTAGCAATCTTTCAGAGTGCAGTCCCGGATGGAAAGCAAATGTTTAAAAAAAATTCTATATGGAGGGAAAATGTGTCCGTGTTGAGTGGGAAAGTGTCTGTGTGGAGAGGGGGGAGTGTGTCCATGAGAAGAGGGAAAGTGTGTCTGTATGGAGAGAGGAAATGTGTCCATGTGGAGAGAGTAAATGTGTCTGTGTGGAGAGGGGGGAGTGTGTCCATGAGAAGAGGGAAAGTGTGTCTGTATGGAGAGAGGAAATGTGTCCGTGTGGAGAGAGGAAATGTGTCCGTGTGGAGAGAGGAAATGTGTCTGTGTGGAGAGGGGGGAGTGTGTCCATGAGAAGAGGGAAAGTGTGTCTGTATGGAGAGAGGAAATGTGTCCGTGTGGAGAGAGGAAATGTGTCCGTGTGGAGAGAGTAAATGTGTCTGTGTGGAAAGGGGATATGTGTCTGTATTAAGGGGGTAATTGTGTTCATGTGGAGAGGGAAAGTGAGTCACTGCGGAGAGGGAAATTGTCTGCAGGATGAGGGGATGTGTGTCTATGTGAAAAGGAAAAGTGTGTCCCTGTGGAAAAGGAAAGTGTGTCCATCCTGTTCCAGAACTTGACCTTTGTGTGCATATCCATTTTACAGATGTGGCTTTTTTGAGAACAGACTGTTGGTTCATCTCTCAGGCAGATGCACTTCAACTTTGAAAGAAACACCCTTAATTAGTTGACAATTACAACATGTTTGTTAGGGGAACAGTGGGTATATCCCCCCCCCCCCTTTCCCACTCTCCAGACAGGGCCTGCAACCTATATGGAAAGAACTACTCCACTATAGTGCTGATGAACCTAAGAACTAAGTGTTATGCCATCATGGCTGGCTCATAAAAAGAATATGCTAATCTTTGCAGTTGTTTTTATCATGGAAATTCCTGTAGAAATGGAACAGAAAATACAGTTCGTACCTTTTTGGGGTTGAAAACTGTCTCAAAGTCTGAGTTTACAAACAGAATATTCTCTGGCTTGAGATCAGTATGTGTCAGTTGGTTTTCATGGAGAACTAGTAAATACAAAAATAAAAACAACAAAAGTTGCATACATAGGCCCAATAATGTTTATATTCTGTATCTCAACATCAGCATCACTGTAATCATTAACTATTTCTTCTTCTGCCATTCTAACCACTCCCCCCCCTCCCCCTACCATCCTTCCCGGGCCCCCTCCCCCAGTGGCGCATAGGCCCTCAACAAACCCACGCCAAGTATTTCTAGCCTTCGCTATTGCAGGCATCTCTCCCATGTCCTGCCCATCTTTCACTCTCAATTTTCCTTTCAATGTGTTTTTTCGCCTTTTTTTCTATGCCCCTGTGTGTTCCACTGCAAAGACATTTTAGTTATATTGTTCTCAGGTTTTCTCAACATGTGTCCTTTCGTCCGCCAGGATCCTTTCTTCACCTCTTGTTCCTCCAGAACTTGTTTAGTTCTCTCCCAAACCTCTACATTAGTGATTCTATCATAATATTCAATTTCCTCTATTCTGAGAAGTCACCAGTTAATGAATGTTTGTAATTTATTAGTAATTTCCTTACTTGTTCTCCATGTTTCTGCTCTTTACAACAGAACTTACTTGACATTAGAATTACAAATTTTAAGTTTAATATCAGTTTTAATTCCCTAGTGCTTTGAAAGCTCTCTTCCCCTTTGTATTCGTATTTTAATATATCTCATCAGCTCTCCCAGCTTTATGGCCAGCATCACACCGGCAACCTTTACTTGCCAGGACTTTGCCTGGTACTCATTTAAGGCAAGGTCATCTTGAAACCACAACCTTCAGAATCATCTGGGGAAAGATTCGACACCACAGCATTCAAGACGAGCCCATTTTAGCTCTGTCTCCCTTCTTAACAGCCAGCGAAGATTCTTCTTATCTAATGGTGCTCACTGTATTATGATAGGATGAATGACATTTGTTAATGTATGAATGTGATAACTTACAGTTGACAGCATAGCATAGCTGGTATGATATGTGTCGAACTTGTTCAAGTGTGTAAGGCACATAATTGTTTTCCTTCTGCAAAAAAATCAGCACAGTGTACAACGCATTAGACCATGTTAATGTACACTTATAAAGTAGTAAAAAAAGACCCATTTTTATTCAGTGGGTCTTACAGGGTGTATGATGCCAGTTTCAAAGTTTTAGATGAATTAGCATTCTCCTCCCTGTAAGTCCTGGAGCAGGAAGGAAAAGACACCCATTCACCCTTTTCCCCGCAAGAATGTTGTAAAAGGCGACTAATTAAAGGTTTCCTTTAAAGTTGGAATGTATCTGCCTCAGAGGCGAGGAGCCAACAGTCTGTATACAAATAACCAGATCTGTAAAACGTATGTGCATGCAAAACTCATCAAGTTCTGGAAAAGACTAAAGCCCAGAACTGCAGAAAGTCTGGTCAACGGATTTCATCTGGAATGCTTTTTGACTGTGCCACACATGGTTTCATATTACATTGATAGCAGATTCAAATCCCAGGGAGTGGTCTGTTGCCAGAGAACTGGTGATGCCTTATGCAATATTGCGTGTGTAACTGCCAATATGTTGTGATTGCTGCTCTTGTTATCGACAAACTGCAGCTCTAGTGATAGACTGTTTGTGATAGAACTTTTAATGGCTGCCTGATGCATTTACTGCATGTGAATCTGCTGGCTTTGCTGAGACAAGTCTGTTTTACATTTTATTTTTTTACCACAGGGGACAGCAATAGTCATTCTGTCTGGTTTTTGCAGGCACAGGAGGGAGCAACTAGGGGATGACACAACTGCCATAAAGTTGAAACTTTGAGGAAATTTATTATTAACTCTAACTTACTAGGAATGGGGGGGGGGGGGGGGGGGGGGGGGGGGGGGGGGGGGGGGGGGGGGGGCTAGGAATGGGGGGGGGGGATTCTGTGGTGAAGTGGTCAAACCATTTGCCTCACAGTCTGAAGGTTGTGGGTTCACCTCATGATGGCACCACTCAGCTCACTAGTACAATTTTTATGGAGATCCCTGGGAATTGTTGCCAGAGCTATGGAGGTTGTGCTCTGTTCGATGCTCTCGGCAGGCAGCTTGCCATTCTGCACAGCGAGACTGAACCATACTGGATGCAATGAAGTTGATTCTCTCAACTTCCACTTTTTTTTCAAACGTAAACTTACCAGGAAGTCAAAGACACTAAGTCCCAGCATGTCAAAGGCAATACACATGTGTCCATGGAAGTCGAACCAGTCCAGCATCTGGACGCACAAACTAAAAATGGACAAAGGTCAGCATGTTTACTGAAGGTCTGTGTACATGTACACATTGACTGTCTCTAAAATGGTGGAAGTGAGATGATATAAATTAAATTCAAGCAATTATGGAACATATAGATCAGGGCTATTCGACTAGTGGCCTGCGGGCCGAATCTGACCCGCCGAAGCATAGCAAGTGGCCGGTAGGTCATTGCCAACTGTTTTGTATTAAGGATCTTTCTATGCTGGTGTTGGGCTTCTGGCCCACGACAATCCTTATTTTCAACACTTTGGCCCCTGAGCAAACTTAGTTGAACAGCCCTGATATAGAGCATCAAAAGCTATATTACCAAGATAACAAAGACACAAAACTGTGTACACAAATAAGCTGAATGAAAGTAGACCACAAGGCAACCAGTAAATATCATGAAAATCACCCTATCTCGTCGGGTGCAAGATGTCCTATGATGTTTTGGGGATGTCATGTTTTGTTATATTCAATTCCCCGTATGGGTGACAGTTCCCTATTATAGGGAAAACAAGAATAAACCCACTGCTTACCCAAAAGCATGTCGTAAGAGTTGGCTAATTGGGAGCTTCCTTTGAAGTCTGAGTGTATCTGCCTGAGAGGCAAGGAACTAGCAGTCTACATACAAATGAGTCAGATCTGTAAAACGGATGCACAAGCAAAACTCAAGTTCTGGCAGGACTGCAGTCCAAAAGTGTATGAACAACCAAAACTTACCGCCAGAGTTTAAAGCTGGTGAACGCGAAGAAGAAGAAGAAATTATTTTCAACACTTTAAGCATTCTATTTTCCATGTTGTGAGTGGCTAGCACATTCTATTTTCCATGTTGTGAGTGCCTAGCATGTTCTATTTTCTGTGTTGTGAGTGGCTAGCACATTCTATTTTCCATGTTGTGAGTGGCTAGCACATTCTATTTTCTGTGTTGTGAGTGGCTAGCACATTCTATTTTCCATGTTGTGAGTGGCTAGCACATTCTATTTTCCATGTTGTGAGTGCCTAGCACGTTCTATTTTCTGTGTTGTGAGTGGCTAGCACATTCTATTTTCCATGTTGTGAGTGGCTAGCACATTCTATTTTCTGTGTTGTGAGTGGCTAGCACATTCTATTTTCTGTGTTGTGAGTGGCCGGCACTTTGTGTGTGCTACTTGTGTTGTGTCATACAACATTTGACAGTCCGTAACTGACAGAGGACTGGAATGGAACAAGCCAGAAAGAAAACTTTTGATAGAGAAATCTGGCGATCTCTTTGGTAAACCTCTACATCCCAAGGTAGAAGAGAAGTGACCAGGTAAGTAAGTACTAGCATTGTATGTTCGCTCTTCATTGCTATCACTGCAGCCTTACTCGATGACTTGACCTTTGCCAAGAATCCACCCCCCCCCCCCCCCTTTTCCCATCTTTTCAGGGCCTGCCACAAAATATCACCAATTCTCAAACCAGTGATGGCTGCAAAAGCACGTGCGCACACAGACACAGTCCTTCAATGTCACCTGCTATGAAAGAGAGCTGCACATTTTCTGTCACGCCTCGTAATGAACAGGAGCTGCTTTTCCGCACAGTGTGTATAGACTGCAAAGGTGAAGGAACACATATCCTAACACCCCTACAACATAGGACGGCCTGTGGGAACCGCCACAGCATGAATGGGGGCCGGCACAAAGTCTCCGGCCTGGCGAAATGGGGTGATTTTCATGATGTTTACCGGCAGACCAATACGATGGTGGAGGGAGAGATAATTTACTGACAGATCTACAAACCAGCAGTTTTTGAATTCTTCATCACCATCCTATGGCTTGCTGGTAAAAATAGGTTGTCATATTTCATAATCTCATATGATTACCAGAATCTGAGATCAGGTCAATATTCTTGTCCAGCCCCCACCCATGTTGCCAAGCCATCCTTGTAATTTTTCTCTTTGCCTTCCTTTTGCTTTCTTTCCATCAATCTTGCCAGTTGCTACAAAGTTCTCAAATATTTCCTTACAGAACATGTTCACAAAACACCACCCATCTGCATCTAACTGTTCTAACCAGTTTACGACTCTTATCAGTCTTGATGTGGACTACTTTATTAGTTTTTCTATCAATTTATGATATTCTTTGCATTCTCGTTGAAGTGTTTCAGTTACCCATTCATCATCATCAAGTGCTTTGCCAGCTGGCATAGGCATTCATGCATCTCCACAGATCTCGGCCTTTGGTGTTCTGGATCAATTCCACTGATGATATTCCTCCATGCCACTGTCTTAAGCCACCCACCACCATTTCTCTGCCTCTTCTACCAGTGATCTTTCCATTCATAACAAAATTTTCCAATACAACTACTAACTGGAAACTGAAAAAAACTAATCTCAGGAATGAATGGAGGCATAGCTATCTCAGTGTCTCAGAAAGCAGAAGAAGAAGCAAAAAACAAGAAAAAGAGAATATTTCTTATGGCATCATATGGTTGGGAAACTTAGACATATAACAAATGAGCTGAAAATGACATACATTCTTTTGAATATAAACTGAGTGGATAATAGAACAAAAGAAAAAGGCTCAATTTTGAAGAGATATGTCTATTAAAACAAATAAAAGTTATCACAATTGTCGGCATCTAACAAGACCTGATGGTCTTGAGAAAATAACCACGGATAAAGAGGGTTTCAGAGACAGTGAGAAGAGTAAAAGCCCCAGATATTTACACCCCCATGTGGGTTCTAGTGCCCTACTGTGGGGCAACGAGAATGGAACCACTGCCTCCCCAATAAGAATGTCATTAGAGTTGACTAACTGGGGGTTTCCTTCTAAAGAAGATTGCATCAGCCTGAGAGGCAAGATACCAACAGTCTACATCACAATAAGCCAGATCTGTGAAACGGATGTGCATGCAACATTCAGTTTCTTGAAGGAGACTAAAGTTCAGGGGTGGACAAATTATATTAGAACTTTCCACCACATTTACAGCCGGTGAATGTGAAGATAAAGATATTCACAGATAGAATAATAATACAATAGTTTTTTTACACTTGCAGCAACTAAGACAGGCTTATGATAGATTTAAAAATAAAACAATTTAGGAAAAGTCCAAACAAATTAGGGAAAGTTTAAAAGAGTTAGGGAAAGTTAATAAGATTTAGGGGAAATTCAAAAGATTTAGGGGGAGTCGCCGTGACCGAGCAGCTAGACGCTTGTCACAGATCAGAAGGTCGTGGGTTCGCTCTCTGGCGGAGCCAGACTTAAAAAAAAAATGACCTTGGTTCCCAGGTCGACCCAGCCTTGAGTGGGTACGGGGTGCAGTCCTGGGAAAGTAAAGTCGGCCGGCGTGATGCTGACCACATCGCCCATCTTGTGTCATTTGGTCTATAAAAATATAGGTCTAGCCCTATACGCCTAAAGGCATGGAAAAGGTTCCTTTACTTTTTTTTTTACAACAGATTTAAGGGAAGCTCAAAAGATTTAGGGGAAGTTCAAAAGATTTAAGTAAAGTTCACAAGATTTAGGGGAAATTAAAAAAATTTAGGAGAAGTTGAAAAGATTTAGAAGTTCAAAAGATTTAAGGGAAAGTTTAAAAATATTTATGGAAAAGTTTAAAAGATTTAGGGAGGTTCAAAAGAATTATGGATGCAGTGGCATCCATCAATGTTACAACCTATCAATAAAATTCCAGTCATCCTAGAAACAAGTCCCATGGTCTGACTGATGCAGACAGGATTGATGTTTCCTTCAAAGTGCATCTGACTGAAAGGCTGGGAAAGAACAGTCATCACGCAAAAAGGCCAAATGTGTAGGACAATTGTGCATGCAAACTGCAAGTGGAACAATGCAAAAGTCCAGAAGTGGATGAACAACCAGAACTTTCTGCTGCAGTCTACAGCTAGCAAATGCTAAGAAGAAGAAGATGTACTAGAAGAAGAAAAATAAGAAGAAGAAGAGAGAGGAAGAGGAGAATGAGGATAGGAAGAAGAGAGATTTAGGCAGGAAAAGTTAGTACAAAAGATGACGATGGAGATGATAAATTTGTTTCACAGATCTTGTAGACTTGAGGTGTTATGAAATGTAAAATGTATTTACAAATGAGATGGTTTTGCCAACAGTAATGTCAAGATGATCATCATGCCATGTTTTATGAGGATTGAAGATGATTTTCTAAGATGGTTTTATTAAGGGTTAACATAACACTCCTCTACAGCACAGCATAACATTTTTATTATTCTAGTTAAACAAACAAGGTGAAGGTCATAACAAGATGAGGGGATAATCGACTTCACAGCCACTTGTACACAAAATTTGAAATTGGCGAATCAGCTACGTGCACATGTGGATTGGCACCTGCGACAACAGATCACGACCTAAAAGACTGTCCCAAATAAAGCATAACAAGGCAACATTTCTGGTCGAGAGAAACACCAGTGCAAGTCAAACTTTACTGGTCACTGAGTGAATGACAAAAGACAGAGAAGTTCACAATAGAGACAACACTGATTACATATACTCAAGGTTTATTAAACCTTAAACCTTTCATCCACTCGAAATAGATTACCTATCGAATGAATGAAAGAAGAAGAAGAAATAATGCTGCGTCAGTTGTTTAGTGTTCTAAATGGCCATGGCCTTATGAAATCAGTCACTAGCTCACTTCTCTACAACACTAACAAGAATGTTGTGCTACCTCCACAGTAAAGGTTGGCTCAATCAATCAGGTGCTATCTCCACACTGAAGGTTGGCTGCAAAGGATCCCCTAACACACTCTGTCTCTTGTTTCATTTGTACATTCTCTTAGACTACTGTTGATCTAACAGGGTCTTGGGAAACTACCACAGGTGGTTCTCCTCTACATTCTTGATAAAGCTTGAGCATCTCATCCTTTCCCGCTTAAGATTATAGGATACACCAGGCTGAGGTAGCCATTGTGGGTGCCCTAATTATAACTTCTTTTTTTAAAAAGTCTACCCTACAGACTGAGATTGGTAAACCTCAGGAGGGTATGGTAAACAAATTGGCTGCAGCTCGGAGGGAACAAACTGATAGATTAATCTAAAAAGTTTGAGAAAAGGAAAAGAAGAGTGTGTGAAACTTACTATTTGCCGTGAGGATCTTTTTCCCGCAGCTTCTCCAGGACATTGATCTCAAGTTTGGCAGCCTCCCTGTATTTTTCCACATTCTTGATGATCTTCAGGGCCAGGCGATCAGTGTTTCTGTAGAAATATGTCTCGGAATAATTACAGAGTCTTGACTTCCAGGTTGATCCCACTTAATGGGATAACAGGGATGCGCAAAGAAATTAGGGTACTGATCTTATCATGTGTCATGTTTCCTAAGAATAATGTTGATTTCCACCAAGATTGATTACATTTGGTATAATAATTGTTTTAAAATGTAGGCATACTTAGAGTACATTGTTACAAAGATGTTATTGATGATGCTTGTTATTATTATTATTATTACTATCTTCTAAAACAATGTGTGCATAAATAATGTATGCATGGCGTGAGGCTAGAAGGGCAGAATGTAAGACGGGCCTGTGTGCCCAATTCTTAACCCTTTGAAAATAAAGTTTGTTCTTTCGTTGGTTCATTCGTTTGATTGGTGAATAAAAACATGAGTCTGGCACCATATGCCCTATGTGCCAATGTAAAAAAAAGGAATCTTTTTACATTTTGTTTAGATAGAGAGTAAAGATTATTGTAATATAAAAAGTAATAATTAAATTCACCAGTGATAGGCACGTAGATATGTAGCTTATTACTATAAGTAATTTTTTTTTTTAGCAAATAGAGTAGCGAATACCACTGAATTCTGGATGTACAGATGTTCTATTAATATTGGCAAGCATAAAATGTTGGGTGAGCTAATTATCCTCATAGCAAATTGGCTGAATACATAGTATGGTGAGTTAGTTAATTGACAGATTATCCTCAGACAAGTCCATGAGTGCTCGGACCTCATCCCTTAGTGTGTGGTGACTGATCACACCAGTTCTCTGTTGGTTTACTATTCTTCTTTCGCTACTTTTATAGTGTTCATGATTGGTGGTAACTCTTTTGACCTGAAGTTTTTGTAGTCTTTTGAGTGTTGCTTATTTAACATACTTATGCCTGCTTATAAGGTGTACTTTACGTCTACCCCAAAGTTTGATGCTGGAGACTAGTATGTCTTTCCTAAATACTGTCTCATCTGTCCAGTAGTTTTCATTACTGTTGCATTACACTCTTGTCAATTCCCTGAAATGTTCCAATGCCCTATTTTTGGGGACAACAAGAATTGACCCACTGCCCACTGAACAAGCATGTAGTAAGAGGTGACTAGTTAGAGTTGTTTGCCCTGAAGACAGAGTGCCTCTGCCAGCATGCCAAGGAACCAACAGTTTGCACACAAAAAAGCCACATCTGAAAAAAAAAAAGAATGTGCATGCACAACTCAGGTTCTGAAACAAGACTAAATAACAGAAGCAGATGAACAACAAAAAGTTTTCATAGAGTTTACAGCCAGTGAATTCAAAGGAGAATTAAAAGAATATTTGCTTTTTTTTCCAGTCAGTTTTTGTCAGCTATCCAAGATGCTCTAAACATTCATCTGACAAACAACATCTCAGCTGCCTGCAAGTTCTTCAGGCAGATTGGCTGGTTTGACACCATTTGGTGGTAAATTAAGCTAGAAGTTATCAAAGTCCTTTGGGAGTGAGTGAACACTGCAACTGTACAAAGGAATCATCATGGCTGAAGAGAATGGTGTAGCGGTGAGAATGATCTGGCTTGCAAACAAGATTCAGATGAAAGGCAAACACACATGCAGACTGCGACTGGTACAATCAGAACAGATCTCAGCAATGGCTACTGACAATAGGAATGTAAAGATGTTGACTCTTAACACAACTCAACTCTTCAAGTTCTCCCTAATTTGTATCTTCACATTTCAAGATTCACTGTTATACAGCAGGAGAGCAGTGGAATGTCATTTATTTGTGCAGCAGTTGTGTCGTGGTATTCAATATAGTTGGTAGCCAGTTTACTGTGAGCTGGTAAAATGCCTTGTGTAATAATTCTACGTGTGTATAACCAACCTATAATGCCTGACTACTTCTATCAATGACAAAGTGCATTTCTGGTGGTGACTGTTGGCTTTGGCATCTCTAGAAACTGCCATATGCATTTACTGCATGCATATTTCTGGATTGTTCCTGGAACTATTTGTTTGTTCACCAGTTTTTCAAATGAGACAGTGGGAGACATTTGATTTGATTTTCACTAGCAGAGGAACAGAGTAAAAAAAAGAAAACCTGATTGCAGTGAAGTTGAAACCTCAACAGACTAAGGAAAGCTAGTCAACCAAATATCATCAAAAAAGTACCAGCTAATTTCCTATAAGACAGGACATGAATGAATGGCAGATACATGGATACTGAACAGATTAACCCCTCAGTGTGACTTGGATGTGAAAAATGAGTCTTTAATTAGCAGCCAGATTGCATTTAATCTGTTAGCCTTTGAATTTTGTGACATCTACTGATAATGCATATAAAAACATAAACAACAATTTAAAAAAAAAAAATTTAAACTTAGTACATCTTTAATTAAGATTAGCCTAACTGGGAAGGTTAAGTGGGGCAACAAATACATGAAGAAGTCGAAGTGTCAGCTGACAGAAATAAAAGGTGAAAATATCACAACCACGCTGTAAATAGCCGCAACACAACGACATTTTCAGAGGAACACAGAAGAAGAAGAAGAAGAAGAAGAAGAAGAAAAAGAAGAAGGAGAAGAAATTGGCAACTGAACCTACAAAAGCTGTCAACACAATAAAATAATAATTTAAAGAAAAAGACTGGCAATATATACTGAGACATTAATCAATGTTAAAAAACAAAGAGATACTTCTAGGTTTAGAATAAAGACACGAGAGCCTGTGATTAAAGATATGCCAGTTTGACTACAAACAAGCACCAGGTGATTATGAGTAAGCCAGATGAGAAAGTGAATCTAGGCTAGCTCTTCAGGTGAACAAAGAGTAGCACACCAGGCAGGCATGCCTACAGGTGAAGACAGGTAAAATGGGGGACAGTTGGAGGGGAGAGTTTGTGGAAGCTGGCCAGGAAGTCATATGGTAGCCAAATGAAGATGGGATAGTAGAAAAAGAGGGAAAGGGGGGGGGGGGGAGCATGAAGAGAGTATTTAATGTAGAGAGGGAGGTAATAAGAGAGTGTTATTATGCAAAGTAGGATAGTGTGATAAGATAGGGAAGGGTGGGATCTAAGTGAGTAGGGTGTGTTAGGTTAAGCAGTTCTGTGTGCAAACCAGAAATAGAATCAATGTGGCCTGTTCCTGGCACAGTTCCAGTACAGCACATTTTTCTTCCAGGTATCTATCATTATCTGTCTGCTGCTGCTACACTTGGCTCAGAATATGTTGTACTCCCCTCCTCCCCCTCCTCCCCATCCTTTAACTGGAGAATCACCCAGAGGCCTATCCTCAATATCCTTCACAATAAACAGTATCAACACAGCTATGACTTAGCAAGTGAGTAATTTTTCACAGATGCTTATCAGTAGGTTTTTTCCCCCTGGCCCTATGCAGCAACACAACACAAAACAGCAGCAATATAAAGCAGCCTACTATTCGTAATTCCAAACTACCAACCCTACCACGATGGAAACCCACTGCTGGCCACTTAGATTATCATGGTATGGGGCAGTCGCAGGTCAATCCAGCCTAAAATGGGTATCAGTATGTTTGTCCTGGGGAAGTAAAGGTGGCCAGCATAATGCTGACCACATTACCCACCTAGTGCAGATTGGCCTGAAAAAATGTGAGAGCTGTTCCCATATGCCCACAGCTCCTAAAGGCATGAAAAGGGATCTTTACTTTTACTTACGCAGCAATACAGCAGTACCCTACTGTAACAGCCACTCTGAGGTGAGTATCAGAACCTGTTTTTTAACACTGTGGAGAGTCCAGGCATCTTATTTTTCTAGGGGGAAAAGCCCTGCTTCTCACTTAACACCAGGTGCAGTCCTGGGAAGTAAGGGTGGCTAAAGTGATTTTGACCACATCCCCCACCAAGTGCTGTTGATTGGTCTGTAAAATATAGGTCTAGCCCTATATGCCTAGTACACCTGAAGGTGTGGAAAAGGGTTTTCTTCTTTACTTTACTTTCTCACTCAGCAGTACCATGACACATTTGAAGCCTCAACGGTGTGGAGGAACAGACTGATCATTAGGGTCTAAGGAGAATAGCGCTGCGAGGAGTTACCAGGGGATCTGGCAGACTCTCAACACTCAGGGCGAGGATGAGAGGCATATACAATCAGACGGTTACTGGTACCATCGGAATTGGAACTCTTGGCTTGCTGCTGAAGATGGGGACTAAGCACTTATGGCAGTGTCCTGAGTGCTGTGATGTCGATTCTAAATTCAACATCCAACATTTGAAGCCTGTAGATTTCTTGAAATATAATTCCAGTAACATATTTAATACTGAATAACTTATTGGTCTCGCCTGATCTATTATTTTGTGGTCGCACAGTTCTTTTTATGACTGACTGATTTTAGTTAACATGTAGAGTGCTTTTAAGAACATTTCAGGCTGCTGAAACAGAAATATATCCAAGTGATTTAGGACTGGTACTGTCATATGCAGGGTGTTTTTTCCATGGGGGGTACACAGAGAAACTGCTATACAACAGTAATGTGTACCAGAACTATTTTTATGGTCAGAATTTCCTCAGTCATATTGTAAAATACACTTTTGTGGTGAGAGTTTATTGGCTAGACATCGACCTGGCTGCCTCGAGATACAAAGGTAAGTGATTTTGTGTATTTTTGTAGTATTGTCTAATTTATGTATGTGCTGATGAAAACTCCACAGCCGCAACATTCATGTTTTTCTGTGTTTGTTAACTTGTCAAGCTTGCTGATATACTTTTTGTTCAGTTTTATATCTTTCCCTGATACTTTTGTGGTTAGTAATTGCCCCTTTTTTAAAACTACTTTATGGTGAGTAACGACACCGCTTTTTCTAGAAAGAAAGCCCTGGTTATATGCAACATTCCAGTGCCCGACCTGCTAGCTAAGTTAGTTACACCAGCTGTGCAGCGACGGGGTGGTAAACTTCCTGTGGCCCAAGTTCAAACAGTCACATATTTCCCAAATTTACGGTATCTATGATGGAATTTGAAGGTCGAAGGGTTGGTTGCAAGATGCATAGTTACCAAGCCGAACCAAAGGGTTTAGAACTCAAGGTTTCTGGATCCACACACACAAAATATGCACATTTCCTATGTGGGTTGAATATATATTTTTATAAAAATATAAGGTGGTCCTTGAAGCAAAGGGCCCCAGACATAGAAAATACTGGATAAAGAGGGGGGCGGGGTAGTTGGAGGGTTTCTGTGGCACCCATCTGGTGGGCAGTTTAAAAGGCTTAAGCGTTAAGTAAGACTGTAATGGGGTAAGTTACACACTTTAGAACAAAGCTGGCCAACAAATATTCTTTTTAGATTACTTTTGTAGCGGTATTCTTCTATGTGTCAAAAATGGAGCCCTCCTCAGAATGATGCGTCTGAACGATCATGTCTAAAAATATACCCTAACAGGGCCTCAGTTATATATAAATTGCATACTCCTGTCCGGTGAGTACACTGCGGCAAAAGTAGGATTACTTTCAGGTGGTAATTTTGCAAAAAGTTTCATACAATTATACTCATGGCAGGCAGACCATCAGCTACGAAACTTGGTCCTAGGTTTAACCTCTCCCCTGGGTCATAGGTTTAACTTCTCTCCCCTGGGTCCTATGTTAAACATCTCCCATGGGTCCTAGGTGTAACTTCTCCACTTGGTCATAGTTGTAACTTCTCCCCTGTGTTCTGTGTGTAACTTCTCTCCTGGGTCCTAGGTTTAACTTCTACCCTGGGTCCTAGGTTTAACTTCTACCCTGGGTCCTAGGTTTAGAGTTAGGGTTAGGGCAATGAGTATAACATTTGTGACACCGCAACCAGAATCTTCGCAAAAGTCCAACCATGAAACTTAGGATTGATTGGTTATGCATGCAAATGACACAGGTGAAACATTACAAAAGCGGGACTAGTCACGCGATTTGCCCCCCGACCCCGGTGTATTCCCTGGAAAGACATCGTAATTTAAATTTTACACACCATTGAGGCCCTGTTAGGGTTATTTTTAGATGTGATCGTTCAGACCCATCATTCAGAGGAGTGCCAAAAGTGATGTAAGCTGTCCCAGTACCTGATCTGCTTTTTTTTCTTCATATCATTTGTTGATTTTTCTATGCATTCTTCCTTAGATGTGAAAACTGACCTTGTACACTCTGACCTACCAGCATTTTTTTTTGTTTTATGCATGATTTTGTTTAGGGTTACTGTACCAGACACTTGTGATAAGTAAGAGCATTAAAAAAAAAAACAATTTGTAATAAGTATTAGCATATTTTGCAAAAGCCTGTACACACGTAGTAAATGCTGCAAAGGATCGAAGGCAGGATTTTCAAGAATTTCTATAGTGAGCTTTGGTGTGCGGCGTCAGGGTTGTGTACCATCGCTGCTTCTTTTTTATAAAGTACATGGATACCATATGTAATGAAACAAACTTTAATCATGAAGAAGATATTACAGAATTACTATTCGCCGACGATCAAGTACTCATAGCAGAAAGTACGGAATGCCTACAGAACCACCTAAATCAAATTAGTAACAAAGACGCCTGTGGCGTCAGGGGTGTGTACCATCGCTGCTTCTTTTTTATAACGTTCATGGATACCATATGTAATGAAACGAACTTTAATCATGAAGAAGATATAACAGAATTACTATTCGCCGATGATCAATACTCATAGCAGAAAGTACGGAATGCCTACAGAACCACCTAAATCTAATTAGTAACAAAGGAGAGGAATATAATATGAAAATAAACAATATGAAGACAGAGATAATGGTGATAGGAAGACAGAAAGACAATTTAGAAATAAAATTAAAAAATAACACACTGAGACAAACAAAGGAATTTAAGTATTTGGGAGCAATTTTCACATCCGACAGAAAACTGGACAGAGAAATTAGCTCCAGATGTGCCAAAGCTAATCAAGTAATGGGGCAACTATCTCCCCTGTTGTCACACAAGCAGATACCTCGGAGTACTAAAGTGAATCTTATCAGAACTATTTTTTTGGCCAACACTTTGCTATCAATGCCAAACGTGGACACTCACATCCTCCAATGAAAGTAAAAATTGACAACAGAGATTAAATGCCTTAGAAGAGCTGCAGGAGTTTCAAGGAAAGACAGAATACAAAATCCTGAAATCAGACAAATGCTAGGAATAAAGCCAGTCTTACAAGTCATCAAAGAACAACAAATGAAGTGGTTTGGACACCTAACAAGAATGCCCTGGTACTATCTGCCACAGCGAGCCACACTAAAACGTTACAATGGGTATAGAGCGAGTGGAAGACCTCAGAAAATATGGAGTGATGGCATTAAGAACAGCTTTACAGAAATGAACATCAGTCTTAATAGTGCTCTTAACAGAGCTCATCAACGAACATTACATCTCCCCCCGACACTTTGATGAGGTAAAAGATGGAAGAGAAGAAGAAGAAGAAGACTAGCATAGTTTTTTAAAGACATTTTGTCAGGGGGAGGGGAAACCCTACATATAAGTTCATAGTTTTGTTCTATCTCTGTTTTATTTTGTTTTATTGTTTAAAAAAAAAACCTAATGAAACCATAAAAGGAAAAAATAAATAGAAATACTTACTTCTGCATGTCTTTACACTCCACCACTTTCCCAAAAGTTCCCTCCCCAAGAGTATTGATGACCTCATCTAAATAAAACAAAAAAAACAGTCAAGATGACAAATTTTGTGTTTTCACTGTTGAAGATTCAGCTTGGAATTTGATGACTTTGATTACTCTTTAGGCAGTGGATCAGGCACATAGATACCATCTTTCTGACTGCCCAGCTCTTCTGTTTATGAAGAAATGTTTAGACAACCACATCATTTAGACAGTAGATCAAGGTTCTGATGTGTATCAAGACAACCACCAGATAGTGCACCATAGAGAGCCCTGTTACTTAAGACATGAGTTTTAAGTTAGTTGCGTATCATTTACAGGACGTTGCAGAACTAACGCCAGCATTTTTTTGGTTGTTGTGGTTTTCTTAGGCAAGTTTACATCCAGTAGACTTAAGACAAAATAGAAGCAAAACTAGAGGTTGAATGTTGAATAAAGAATTGACATCACAGCACTCGCGACACTCCCATAAGCGCTCCGTCCCCATCTGCTCATTTCCCAACACACCAGCGTGACCTGGAAAAAATATCCAAAGGATGCTAACTACCCAGGGCCTCTAAAGTGATGCTTGCCAATCTGAACTGAGCATGCCTGTCTCCATCTTTCTCAGCATGCTCTGTGAGTCAGTTACAATAACAAATTGTGTGTACAGCTGATTCTCAAGCAAAAAAACTAGAGGTCAACCATGCAAGCAATGGATAGATAGCATATCCAAGGTCTTAATGTCAACGTCTACATAGCAAATACCAAGGCTCGCAGCCGATGTCTCTTCAAAACCTGATGATGAAAGGCAGAACAGGACTAGAGAAGAAGAAGAGTTACCCAAAATAAAGCCAGAAAAGAGAAACATTTTATTTGAAACCCGATGAAGACATCCTTACCTACAGAGGACTACATGTTACACTGGGAAGGTGGAGCCATTACAAATACCCCAATTATAAATTCATTGGAGGCTGAATGGGGTATCTAGGATTTGCCCTGCTGGTCTGCCATCCAGATTCAGATTTTGTAATCTCATGGTGTCAAATTCTCAGACAGCAGCCAGGGTTTTAATTCAGGGATGTGGGGGGGGGGGGGGGGGGTAGATCCACTGCCTCCTAAAAAAGAATATTGTAAACAGGGATTAACTAGTGGTGTTTCCTTCTAAGTCAGAGTGAATCGACCTGAGGGGCAACAAACCAACAGTCTGCATACAAATAAGCCAGATCTGTAAAAAAAAAAAAAAAAAAAAAGATGTGTGTGCAAAACTCAAGTTCTGGAACAAGACTAACGAAATCTACAAGTGGATGAACAACCATATCATTCCACTAGAGTTTACAGCTGGTGGACACTAAGTGGAAGAAAAAGGTGTGTACTTCAACAGAGAATTCATAATTGTAGGAAAATGTTGTTTATACCAAACTGACTGTCCTACTTCCCAAAATATTTCATTGCATCAATGTTAGATAATATTGATCTGGAAGTTCGAGTCATTATTTTTACATTAAAGGTAGACAGATTAGATCAAGAGGCAGATCCAAAAGATTGTGGAGAGATAACATACAGGTAGATCTACAAGCACTTGGGAGTCAAGAACTAGAAAGAGAAGGCAATCACAGAGATGAATGAAGGTGGGTGATATCTGTAGCAAAGGACTTTAATAGTTTGCAATGCTGAAAAAGAAGAAGAAAAGGTAAAAATAATAATATAGTTAACTAACATGCCCACAAGTCTGTAAAACTTTTAGTTATTTAGTTGGATACATGCTTCATGGAAAATGTGTCACCCATAATAACTCCATTGCTGTGCCAGTGTAAATCACAGTGAATGCCCTTGACTGTCCCATCCTAACCCCCTTGTGGGTTTCAGAACCCAATTTTGGGAGGAAAAAAGAACAGACACACTTTCCCCAGCAGGCATATTGTTAAAGTTGACTAATTAGGGGTGTTTCCTTCTGTCGGAGTGCATATGCCTAAGCGGTGAGGGACCAAACAGTCTGCTTACAAATATGCCAGATCAGATCTGTAAAACAAATTTGAACGCAAAACTCATGTTCTAGAATAAGACCCAAGTCCAGAAGTTGGCGAGCTACCAGAACTTACTGCTGGAGTTTACAGCTGGTTAACACGAAGAATGATACAGAAAAAGAAGTCCTATTTGAAAACCTTGGAAACAGAACCACCCTAGCAATTGTGTGACCTGGAAGTAAAACAGGGTGAAGCATGTCTATGCTGCCTTTGAGGCTGAGATAGGAGACATTATAACTCTTCATGGGAACAGTCAGCAGAGGTACCTTGGAGTGGTTGCTGCATCCGAGGACTGAGCACACATGGGAATGCCCAGTGTGCAGTATTGTCGACTGCAATATTATAACATAACAAGACATTACAATAACAGATTTCATCCTTACATCGAGATCGCAGCACGTCTCCTGTCTTATAGATAAGATGCCCATCTTCGTCATCCTCTACAGACTTCTCCTTTCGCCTTCCATTTTCTTTTTGCTCCTGTTAATGGCATCACCAAGAAAATCCAGTCCATGGGAAAACAATTTCATGAAAAGACACACCACAAACAGTTGCGAGAATATTGAATGTATCCATGAAAACATTTGTTGACAGTGATGGTGTCCACAGTGGGTTTCAAAATTATATAATCAACACAGGCAAGGTGTCAGAGGAGCAGCCATGTAAGCAGGTCATCAGGTCAACAGATCAAGCAGGTCATTGGGTCAATCAGGTGCCAGCATGTGGAAAAGAGAAACAGTGAATATATATAATTAATGAACATATTCTTGCTTGAGGATCACAGATATTGCAGCCTAGCTGTAAACCACAACACAACCTCCCAGCTGCCCTTTTCCCTCTTTCAGTCTCAAGCCTTGTTTACTTTAACTCTTTTTTACTGTAAGGAGATAAGCTAAAAATCAATGCATATTTGGGCATAAAGAAGTTCAACTGATACAGTTTGGGACAGAAGTAGTTGAACTAATAATTCAGATAGAAAGGGTTAACCCTTTCACTCTGAGAAACCGAAAACCAACACATTTCCGACCAGTTTACGAGATCGTACAGTTAATGCAGTTGGTTGAATTAGCGCATGTGCAAAATTAAAGCGGTCAGGAGATGCATAAATTACCTAACAATAGCATTTAGAGGGGTTTTTTCTTTGTGCTAAATTGCTTTTTTTTAAGTAAAGGTGACATCATATTTTCTCATAAGCCTCAGTGGTAAAGGTCACGGGGTCACAAAACATGTGCTTTTTAGGTCCATGTTATGATGTATACACTTTAATGCTTCACTCTATTCATGTTATTGATTCCTCCTTTTATATTGCTTTACATTATCAAAAAAAAAATAATTTTCAAATGTCCATATATATGTTAGTTAGAGAAAAAAATTATTAGTGACCTGTGTAAAAAAAGTGTTTTATTTTTTTTTTAAATTGATTTTTTCTGTATTTCAAAAAGGGACATAACCATTTTTTAGAGTTCTTGGGATGAAAGGGTTTATATAAAATCTGTGATATATAGTAGCAAAAACAATATATATCTTAGGAATGACCAAGAAAAATATGGTGTGTTGTCTGGTATTAAAAGAGTTAAGGGTGAATTCAGCAAAAAGAAGAAGAAGAAGAAGAAGAAGAAGAAGAAGAAGAAGAAGAAGAAGAAGAAGAAGAAGAAAAAGAAGAAGCAGAAGAAGAAGCAGAAGAAGAAGAAGAAGCAGAAGAAGCAGAAGATGAAGAAGAAGAAGAAGAAGCAGAAGAAGCAGCAGCAGCAGCAGCAGCAGCAGCAGCAGCAGCAGCAGCAGCAGCAGCAGCAGCAGAAGCAGCAGAAGAAGCAGAAGAAGCAGAAGAAGCAGAAGAAGAAGAAGAAGAAGAAGAAGAAGAAGAAGAAGAAGAAGAAGAAGAAGAAGAAGAAGAAGAAGAAGAAGAAGAAGAAGAAGAAGAAGAAGAAGAAGAAGAAGAAGAAGAAGAAGAAGAAGAAGAAGAAGAAGAAGAAGAAGAAGAAGAAGAAGAAGCAGAAGCAGAAGCAGAAGCAGAAGCAGAAGCAGAAGCAGAAGCAGCAGAAGCAGCAGAAGCAGCAGAAGCAGCAGAAGCAGCAGAAGCAGCAGAAGCAGCAGAAGCAGCAGAAGCAGCAGAAGCAGCAGAAGCAGCAGAAGCAGCAGAAGCAGCAGAAGCAGCAGAAGCAGCAGAAGCAGCAGAAGCAGCAGAAGCAGCAGAAGCAGCAGAAGCAGCAGAAGCAGCAGAAGCAGCAGAAGCAGCAGAAGCAGCAGAAGCAGCAGAAGCAGCAGAAGCAGCAGAAGCAGCAGAAGCAGCAGAAGCAGAAGCAGAAGAAGCAGAAGAAGAAGCAGAAGAAGCAGAAGAAGCAGAAGAAGCAGAAGAAGCAGAAGAAGCAGAAGAAGCAGAAGAAGCAGAAGAAGCAGAAGAAGCAGAAGAAGCAGAAGAAGCAGAAGAAGCAGAAGAAGCAGAAGAAGCAGAAGAAGCAGAAGAAGCAGAAGAAGCAAAAGAAGCAGAAGAAGCAGAAGAAGCAGAAGAAGCAGAAGAAGCAGAAGAAGCAGAAGAAGAAGAAGAAGAAGAAGAAGAAGAAGAAGAAGAAGAAGAAGAAGAAGAAGCAGAAGCAGAAGCAGAAGCAGAAGCAGAAGCAGAAGCAGAAGAAGAAGAAGAAGCAGAAGCAGAAGCAGAAGCAGAAGAAGAAGCAGAAGAAGAAGCAGAAGCAGAAGCAGAAGCAGAAGAAGCAGAAGCAGAAGCAGAAGAAGCAGAAGAAGCAGAAGAAGCAGAAGAAGCAGAAGAAGCAGAAGAAGCAGAAGAAGCAGCAGAAGCAGCAGAAGCAGCAGAAGCAGCAGAAGCAGCAGAAGCAGCAGAAGCAGCAGAAGAAGCAGAAGAAGCAGAAGAAGCAGAAGAAGCAGAAGAAGCAGAAGAAGCAGAAGAAGCAGAAGAAGCAGAAGAAGCAGAAGAAGCAGAAGAAGCAGAAGAAGCAGAAGAAGCAGAAGAAGCAGAAGCAGCAGAAGCAGCAGAAGCAGCAGAAGCAGCAGAAGCAGCAGAAGCAGCAGAAGCAGCAGAAGCAGCAGAAGCAGCAGAAGCAGCAGAAGCAGAAGAAGCAGAAGAAGCAGAAGAAGCAGAAGAAGCAGAAGAAGCAGAAGAAGCAGAAGAAGCAGAAGAAGCAGAAGAAGCAGAAGAAGCAGAAGAAGCAGAAGAAGCAGAAGAAGCAGAAGAAGAAGCAGAAGAAGAAGCAGAAGCAGAAGCAGAAGCAGAAGCAGAAGCAGAAGCAGAAGCAGAAGCAGAAGCAGAAGCAGAAGCAGAAGCAGAAGCAGAAGAAGAAGAAGAAGAAGAAGAAGAAGAAGAAGAAGAAGAAATACTAAATGATAACGAACATCATCTAAAGATTTTAGTCCTCTATCCCTTGGCCTGCTTCAGTAACTCCAAAGGAAAAGAAACACCAAGAAGTCTGGTGAGACAGCAGCAAAAACTGCTAGATTAGAAAAGAAAAGTACTCTGTCTGCCTGTCAGAGCTTCTCTTCTAGATATATAGGAGATATCTCCATGTACATAAGTCATAATCATTTTCTTTAGGGCCATGAGTCATGACATCATGAGTTACCACAGTGTGTGACATCATGAGTTACCACACTGTGTGACATAAATGGCTACCATATTGCGTGACAGCATGAGTTACCACACTATGTGACATCATGAGTTACCACAATGTGTAACATTGTGAGTTACCACACTGTGTGACATCATGAGTTACCACATTGTGTGACATCATGAGTTACCACACTGTGTGACATGAGTTACCAAAGTGTGTGACATGAGTTACCAAAGTGTGTGACATCATGAATTACCACATTGTGTGACATCATGAGTTACCACACTGTGTGACATCATGAGTTACCACAGTGTGTGACATCATGAGTTACCATACTGTGTGACATCATAAGTTACCCCAGTGTGTGACATCATGAGTAACGCCAGTGTGTGACATCATGAGTTACCACACTGTGTGACATCATGAGTTACCCCAGTGTGTGACATCATGAGTTACCCCAGTGTGTGACATCATGAGTTACCACACTGTGTGACATCATGAGTTACCACAGTGTGTAACATCATGAGTTACCACAGTGTGTGACATCATGAATTACCACAGTGTGTGACATCATGAGTTACCACAGTGTGTGACATCATGAGTTACCACAGTGTGTGACATCATGAGTTACCACAGTGTGTGACATCATGAGTTACCACAATGTGTGACATCATGAGTTACCACAGTGTGTGACACCATGAGTTACCACAGTGTGTGACATCATGAGTAACCACAGTGTGTGACATCATGAGTTACCACAGTTAACAGATAGGAAATATTTTTCTTCTTCTTTTTCTTCATGTTCACTGGCTGTAAACTCCGATGGATAGTTCCGACGGATAGTTCTGGTTGTTTTTCTGCTTCTGAAATCTAGCCCTGTTTCACAATCTGAGTGTTGCATGCACATTCGTTTCACAGTTCTGACTCATTTGCATGCAGACTGTTGGTACCTTGCCTCTCAGTCAGATGTTCTTTATTAATATCCTACCCCAGATGGCGTCACAGGACAGTCCAACATTTTAGAGGGTGATAAGACTGCGTTTCCCGGCTTTCTGATGCTTTTAACGACCTCAAAACATCTAGAACTTACCCTAACCTCAAACCACCTACGTCCCACGAGAGAGTGCAGCCTAGGTCCCACGACTGCATGCAACCTAGGTCCCACGACTGCATGCAGCCTATCTACCACCCCTTGAAATATTAGACTGTCCCGTGACCTGTGGATTTTGTCTGTCTGGGGTAGGATATTATTAAAGCACCATATTTAAAAAAAAATAAATCTCGATGGATGATTTAGTCAACATCCCGCCGACCGCCTTTACCAACCACCATTTGAACCTGGTACCCATTTTAAGGCGGTGTCGGCCTGGGAGCCAAGTTCATGTAAAAAAAAAAACCCCCCGTCTGCATGCTGATTTCAGTTCGGATCCTTCGGGTCCGCAGGCTAGCGGATAACCGAGACACCACGGAGTCTGAGAAAGTTTTACAGCAATGGTTCTCAACCTGCCGGTAGCGACCCCCCCCCCCCCCCTTTTTTTTGTGTGTGTGGCTCGAACAACCTTTTCAAAGGAGTCGCCCAAGACCAACGGAAAACAGTTGTTTGTCCACTCGCGAACTTTGGTCTTGATCTAGAACTCGAATTTTGCTTGCACTTTAATTTTACAGATTTGGCTTATTTGTGTGCAGACTGTTGGTTCTTTACTTCCAACTTTGAAGGAAACATCAATATTTAGTCGCCTCTTACGACATTCTTTTTGGGTAGTGTGTGTGTGTGGGGTGGGGAAGAGACAGTGGTCTATTCTTTGTTCTCCAGTTATTTTGTAATATCCCCTTCAACCATGCATAACACATTTTCTTTGAAAGTATTTATTAATACACCTTATATTATTTCAAGAATATTGTATTTATTTGATATTAAAA